TCTACCACCCTCGCCTGCTCCTCCCTGTCTTCCCTGTGTCGAGGGGCGGCAGCGCGCCGCTCCTCACTCCTCCTCGTTCCCTCCCACAGAGGCTCCCCTGCAGACTCTCCACCTGGACGTGTGGGGCCCAGCCCGCGTCCGTGGACAGGGCCACGAGCGGTACTTCCTGCTGGTCGTCGACGACTACACGCGTTACACCACGGTCTTCCCCTTGCGCAGCAAGGGGGAGGTCCCTGATGTTTTGATCCCCTGGATCCGCGCTGTTCGTCTCCAGCTCCGCGAGCGGTTCCAGTCGGACTTTCCTGTCCTGCGTCTGCACTCTGACAGAGGTGGTGAGTTCTCCTCAGACCTCTTGGCAGCCTACTGTGCGGAGCACGGCATCCGCCAGACGTTCACGCTTCCGGCCTCTCCGCAGCAGAATGGGGTTGCTGAGCGCCGCATTGGCTTAGTCATGGAGGTCGCTCGTACCTCCATGATCCATGCGGCTGCCCCCCATTTTCTGTGGCCGTTTGCGGTCCGGTACGCCGCGCATCAGCTCAACCTCTGGCCCCGTGTCTCCTTGCCGGAGACCTCGCCCACACTGCTGTGGACGGGGAAGGTTGGCGATGCGTCGCGTTTCCGGGTCTGGGGTGCTCGTGCAGGAAGGTAGGGCAGGAAGGGAGGTATGGGAAGGTAGGGCAGGAAGGGAGGTATGGGAAGGAATCCATGGGAGATCTGAAGGAAGCGAGGTAAGATGGGGAGGAAGGGAAAGGAGATGGCTACTAGTCATACTAGAAATTATACAATTCATATACATGCCTGCTAGTATAGCTACTGTGTAGTGTTACAACATCTGCTTGCCTTTGCCTATTTGTACTCCCGCTTTTCTTAGTGAAACCCCTCATTGGCCAACCTTCCCACTCGTCACTATCGATATGGCTAAACCCCCACGTCCTAAGTTCCTAGCGTAACTTAGGTACCATGACATGGTATTAGAGCACGGTTTCAAAATGGGCCCACCGCATCTCGCTTCCTGTATGGCGATCGTCGCGGCCCCAGCTGCGCCCCCTCAGGCGCTCATCGCGATCTATCCCCCCCCCCCCCCCTCCCCCCCCCCTCCCCACACCCCGTCGCCCACCGTCGCATTTATGTCACCGCCCTCGTTGCGACGGCTGCTTTCGGGGGAGGTGGCGGGGGTAACGCTGGGCTCGTCACGGCCTCGCCTTGGCCTCCCGACGGTCACGCCCGCCCCGTTGCCCTTGCTCTAGCTGCTGTCGTGCTTTCTGGTGCACGGAGCAGCACCTTCATCGCCTGCCCGTCGCCTGACCGTCCCGCCCGTCGCGCCCCAGCAGCACTCCCCACCCGCCCTCCCGTCGGCCCCTTTGCTGCTGCCGCGACTGCAAAGACCGCCACTGTGCAGACAGGTGGCGGGAGTGGCGGGGGTGGTTGATGCAGGGGGGGACGCCACGCTGCTGCTGACGCCCTGTCTGTGCGCCACCTCCGCTTTCTCCTCCCTCTCCCTGCAGCTCCTGCAGCGGTGAGAGGGGGGGAGGGTGTGGGGGTGGCAAGTATATCCAGTCAGCCGCCAGCAGCCCCCCCCCCCCCCCCCCTCCATCTCCCACTCTCTCCCTCCCCTCCCTGCCGCCCTTGCTGCGGTGGAGAGAGGGGGAGGGGGGAGAGGTTGAGGGAGTGGAGGGGGAACATCTCAGCTTCACCAGCCTCTGTTAATTAAGGAGCTAAGGCAAGGAGCCATAGCTAGGGTTAGGAAGAATTACGAGAGGGAAGAGGAGTTCACTAACAGCAACAGTACAAGATATAGATGCAAGGGAAGGTGGGGAAAGGGGGTACACCACCAAGGAATACCGGTAGATAGAATTGTAATACTACACTAACTAGATTGTATGCAGTTATATAAAGAATATAATTCTTAACAGCCTCCTCCCTTCGTTTCCAGCCGTCTCATCCGTTCGTTTTCTTCCTCCTTCTCTCATCTTCTTCTCATGCCCTGCCTTTCTTATCTTTCGTTCTCTCGTTCTCTCGTTCTTTCGTGCAACTGCTGCCTGCTGCTGGCTCGCCCCCGGAGGTGCCGAGCCGTGCTGTCCTGCTGCTCGTTGCAGCCACAGCGCCTGCTCTCTCGCCCACCTACCGTCGCCTGCACGCGCCGCTGCTGCAGCTGCCGTGACTGAAGTTACTGCAGTCCTCTGCCCTTGGTGTACCCCTTACGGGGGTGTCTCTGCACGTGGCTTCCACTCCAGGCAGTTAGGGGGTGTGTCAGAAATTATACATTTCATATACCTGCCTGCTAGTGTAGCTACTGTGTAGTGTTACAACATCTGCTTGCTTTTGCCTATTTGTACTCCTGCTTCTCTTAATGAAACCCATCTTTGGCCAACCTTCCCTCTCGTTACTCTCGATATGGCTAAACCCACATGTCCTAAGTTCCTAGCGTAACTTAGGTATCATGACAGGGAGGTGAGTTGGGAAAGAAGGGAAAGGAGATGGAAGGAAGTGAGAGAGGGGAAGGAACGGAAAAAATATGAAATGGCATGTTCCGGCGATTCGAGGGGAGGAGGCGGGACTCGAATCAAGTCTTAAAGCGATGGTGCACATTTGCCACCCAAAACCCAGAACCCTGGCGAACTGTTACTGCGGATGGAAAGTGTCCGCACAAAATCCTGGTTTTCGCCAGCCAGCACTTTCGCGCTGGCAAGCCTTGTTGAATTATATTGCATATCCTAACTGCCTACAGCTTGCTAGTGTATTAGTTAGTTATTAGGTTCAACTGCTGGTGGTGTACCCTATCCTCTCCCCTATCCTATATCTTGTAAACATTCCTTAGTGAATCCCCTCTTTGCCCAATTCTCTTGCCATGCTCACTCTCGACACTCACGCTTCCTAGGTAAACCCTAAGTTACTAAGTCAAGAGTTAAGAGCGTGTTCTGACATGACATCAGAGAGTGGTCCCTCCTAGGACCTCGTTTTCATGGGCCCACCAAACCCGCGATCTGCCATGGCGACTTATTGTGCTGCTGGCATGGCTGCTACTGCTAGTAGCGCGAAATCCGCTGCTGGCTCGAACTCCGCTGCTTTTGCAGCACCCGTCGCGCTGCCCCCTTTCGCCTGCCCCGTCGCGCTCTGCCAGTGGCGAGCGTGCCAGCGAGGCGACGGCGGGCGCCAGCGCAAGCGCCAACGGCGGGCGCCAGCGCCAGCGCCAACGGCGGGCGCCACCGCCAGCGCCAACGGCGGTCGCAAGCGCCAGCGCGGACGCCAGCGCCGACGGCGGGCGCTAGCGCAAGCGCCAACGGCGGGCGCCAGCGCCAGCGCGACGCCAGCGCCCAGCGCCAGCACTTCCGCTAGCGCCAGCGCATGGGGGGGAGGGGAATGAGGGGGTGGCGGGAAAGCTTCTGCCGCGCCAGCCACCTCCTCTCCTCTCCTCTCCTCTCCTCTCCTCCTCCTCTTCTCCTCTCCTCTCCTCTCCTCTCCTCTTCTCCTCCAGCCGCATCTCCTCCTCTCTCCTCTCCTCTCCTTCTGCCGCATCTCCTCCTCCAGTCTCCTCTCCTATAGCCGCATCTCCTCCTCCTCTCTCCTCTCCAGCCGCATCTCCTCTGCTCTCCTCCTGTGCACCACCACCAGCGAGGCGACGGCGGGCGCCAGCGCAAGCGCCAACGGCGGGCGCCAGCGCCAGCGCCAACGGCGGGCGCCACCGCCAGCGCCAACGGCGGTCGCAAGCGCCAGCGCGGACGCCAGCGCCGACGGCGGGCGCTAGCGCAAGCGCCAACGGCGGGCGCCAGCGCCCAGCGCCAGCACTTCCGCCAGCGCCAGCGCATGGGGGGGAGGGGAATGAGGGGGTGGCGGGAAAGCTTCTGCCGCGCCAGCCACCTCCTCTCCTCTCCTCTCCTCTCCTCTCCTCCTCCTCTTCTCCTCTCCTCTCCTCTCCTCTCCTCTTCTCCTCCAGCCGCATCTCCTCCTCTCTCCTCTCCTCTCCTTCTGCCGCATCTCCTCCTCCAGTCTCCTCTCCTATAGCCGCATCTCCTCCTCCTCTCTCCTCTCCAGCCGCATCTCCTCTGCTCTCCTCCTGTGCACCACCACCAGCTTCCTCCTCCTCACCAACAGTTGTGTTTGCTCGTAGATGGCGAGCGACCAGCATCCTTCGCCCTCCGGCTATCCCAGCCCTCCTCCGCGCTCTCCGCGCCCTCCTCCGTTCTGGCGTTCACAGGTGCTGCCGCTCAGCCACCGCTGTTTCTGTGCCTATCCCAACTACAGCAACCGCTCTCCAGGCGACCTGGTGCCAGACACCACTAGCTATAGCCGTAGGCAGTTACGGGGGTGTGTTGAATTATATTGCATATCCTAACTGCCTACAGCTTGCTAGTGTATTAGTTAGTTATTAGGTTCAACTGCTGGTGGTGTACCCTATCCTCTCCCCTATCATATATCTTGTAAACATTCCTTAGTGAATCCCCTCTTTGCCCAATTCTCTTGCCATGCTCACTCTCGACACCCACGCTTCCTAGGTAAACCCTAAGTTACTAAGTCAAGAGTTAAGAGCGTGTTCTGACAAGCCTGGTTCAAAAAAAAAACTTCTGAACCCAACACTGCCAAAAGTTGCCCGTCGCTTTAACAAGGCCGCAAGTGGAGTGTAGGCGCGACACAGAATGAAGGGGATTTGAGGTTACGAGGGGAGGGGGCGAGGCCTCGATTGAAGGCGTTAATTTTCAAATTCCGAAGGATTTGAATATGCCACTTCCAAAAACAAGCGATATTGTCGTTGTCAGTAGTTAACGAAGGGGCCACACCATAGTGCATTAAAAATATATGGTTATACAAGCAATAACATACAGAATATGGCTCTTACAAATACAAAACCAAGTGTAACGCCAAAATGCAGCTGCTTAGACAATTATGAGTTGGGAACTCTATTAGTGTATTACTTGGCTGAAAGAGGGCCAATAGGGCCATACTGGCCAACAGGGCCATACTGGAAGGCCCCAAAGCACAAGGAGTACAAGCCGCGATTGGCTTTAGCATTTGAACAGGGGAAGAATGTTGGGGAAGCCCTTAACGAATCCGCCACCAACGAGGCCGCCAGATTTCCTGGTGGACTTGGTGAGAACCGCGGTGTAGTATTCCGACACGATGTGCGTATCCACAGCCTGCATCACATCCAGAATCGTGCCGCTGCCGCCACGTGGCGCGATCTTCTCAATAGCCGTCAGCTTGAAGTCCAGCTTGTACGAGCCGCCGCTGCCGCTCCAGGGCTTGTTGATGAGCCACGACACGCCGGTATTGCTGCCGAACTTGCCCTTTCCGATCACGATCGCCACAGGGGGTTCTGGTAACCCGCTCAGCTCCGCAGTCACCGTCAGGTCGAACGACTCGTCTGAGTCGCCCCTGCGAGGGAGAAAAGCGCGGGAGAGAGGCGGAAGGAATTTAGAGGGACGGCACGGATTTGAGGCGGAGAAGCGAGCTGGGAAGGAAAGAGGAAGAGGAGGATAGCGGAAGCTGTGGCGGGAATGGCGTAGCCAGAATACGTACTTGTACTCCTTGAGGGTGAGTTTGCCAGTGGGAAGCGACTTGGTGGACTTGCCGCTCTTCTTCGCCTGTGTCTTCATGTTGTCCGTCACGTCCCAATTCGAGTACAGCACGCCTGCGACAATGTGCGACAACGTGCGACATCAAGCGAAGAAGCAGAGAAAAAACCACGCATCGATCAGTACGACAGCTGGCGAGAGCAAGCTATGACAGAGCGAGAGGAGAGCTATTCGAGGACGAGAAGAGAGCGGGACGACGGCGGAAACAGAATGGGGTGAGGGCGCGGCGAGGGCCAAGTTAGTTGAGTGGCGCACTCACATTTCGGTGCGGCGGCGAGAGTGAGGAGCGCGGACGCGAAGAGCACCCCGAGGACGAGCGCGCCTGGAGGGGGGTGGAGACGCGGAGGGGCGCACAACGATGAGTACGGGGGGTGAAGGCGGTAATGCGACCCGCAGGGAGCGGAGGAGCGAGAGTAAGGGAACTCGGGTAACAGGGCGGAGCATTTCGGATTCAGAACGCTGGTGACGGAGCGAGAGCATTGCTCATGAGAGCACGACAGACGAAGGAGCGACAGCAAGACTGGCGAGATTGTGATGCACGAAGATTGGAAATGAGAGGACCTCGGAAGGAATCGAGAAATTGATAGATCCACACACCTTTCGCAGATACTGAAGGAGCCATGAGGTCAGCTATGCAATGTGTGCAAGGGATATGAATCGCTTGTGAACGCGAGAGACTCGGATGGCGAAGGAACGATGGTAGAGGATATCTAAACTGTCGGAGATAGAGAGCTTTTATATCGCCTGCTGCTCCCCGGGTCCCCGAAGCGTGCTCACGACACGACACGAAGCCCGTGCTTAAGGTGTGCAGCTTGAAAATCAAGCCGATGCAGCCACGCTGGCCATGGAGGTGGAGTGTGCGCCCAAGTGAAAATGTGGAGTCGGTGAGTGGACGGCGACGGCGGAATCTCCGTCGGGGGGGGGCGAAGGTGGGGGTGCAGACAGTTCCGCATTGTGGCACTGTGTCGCTCTCCCAATGTTCGTGCGACACTGAATTCCCTCTGCAAGAACTTCGCCTCAGCAGACCTGGGAAGGGCAGAAGCGGAATTGCGTCAGGAAAAGGTTGGGTGTGCCTGTGACTCGCTGGGGCAATGTTCGTGCGTGGCGTGGGAAATTGCCGAAGCGCGTCGAAGGACGACGAGGTTTCAGGGGACCAGTACTTGACCCTCTGACGCGTCGCACCCGCTGACGACGCCCACGCTGGATTGTTCGCAGAGAAGTGCAGTAAGTGCGAAGTGCTGCGATTGGGCAACAGGCGTCGTTCACATGTAGACTTCATGTCAGGCCTCTCGTCTAAATCCGATGTTACCTGGTTTTCACTAGTTGTGAGGTACTTACAAAGTGAAGTTTCCATCCAGCTCTCGGTTTTTTCACAAGCTGAGGGCTTGCGATAGTACAGAATTCATTAGAGAATACCCTAAATAATCAAACATGAACATTTATAGGCTGCTACCTATATTTCACAAGCCAGTTTGCCTGGAATAAATATTATCACGAAGATGGCCTCATTATAGTGCATGTAAAGCGAAACATGTACCCATGTACTCAGGTTTAACCCAAGAGGATGCCTGCTAGCACAGCACTAGTTCCAGTACTCCATGCACACTCATATACTGTACGATTTGGCATTCACACCAGAATGGCTGGCAGAGGCATAAAAGGGTAGGAGAAGGAACGAAGGGGGCACATGCACTACGAGAAATCTACCCCAACAATGCCAAACAGCCCGTCGTTTCCACCCAAGAGGTGTTACAACCATTAGTTCGGATCACATCGGATACTCCTTACAACATGCACGGCACACTCAAAAATAAAAACACACCCCAATCCATCCCTTTGTCTTACGCACACTCAATTCACAAGGTACACAGAAGCACTGTGCCTTGCACGCACCACTACCCTCCTTGCTCCCCCTCAAGCGATCCCTCTACCCCCCTTGCCAGCTCATCCACGTTCAAATCCACCACCCCATCCTCCCCTTCCCCCTCCCCTCCGCCCTCCCCTTCCCCCTCGCCCTCCCCTGGCGCCACACTGAGAAACTGCTGCCAGAAAGAATCATTAAACCCCCCCGTACCCTCCAGATCCAACCCATCTCCCTCCCCTATCCCTTCCCCTATTCCCTCCCCTCCCACTCCCTCCCCTACCCCTCCTCCTCCAACCAACCCCCCTTCTCCCCCCATCTCCCCTGCACCTGCCCCCACCACGTCCTCCCGCGCTGTACCACTCGATACTGCGCCGACTGCTGCACTGCTGCCTTCCCCCGCTCCTGACGCCTCTCCTGTCGCAACCCTGCTGCCTTCCACAGCCAAACCGAGCGGCAACTTCGTCTCAGCAACAGGAGCAGAAACACCCGCCCCAGATGCAGCCGCAGCAGGATAAGCAGCAGCAGGGCCGGTGTGGGCGAGAGAGGCAGCAGAGGCGGTGGCGCTAGCGCTGGCAGCGAGTGGGGCACTGGCAGCGAGACTAGCAGCGGAAGTAGCAGTGGCACTGGCAGAGGCGTGGGCAGGGGCAGAGGCGTGCAAGGGGTGGTATGGATGCAGCATGGGGGCCGTAGCAGCGCCGTAAGGGGTGGGCATGCCTAAAGGGCTGATCTTTGCACCATGCACCAGCAGGCTCTGTGACAGGTCCATGCCAGGGGGAGGCGGGGGCAGCACGGGGGGGTACCCCGGGGGAGTGGGCACCATTGGCGCCGCAGCAGGGTACCCGCTTCCTGCTGCTGCCGCTGTCGCTGCTGCTGCTGCTGCTGCGGCGGCGGCAGCAGCGGCGGCGGCGGTGGGGTGGGAAGGGGGGTAGGTCATGGGGAGGGGGGTGAACGGCATGGGGAAGGGCCGCGGAATGCCAGGGTGAGGCGTGGGAACCGGCATCGCTGGCGGCGCTGCTGCAGGTGCAGTGGCGGCGGCAGTGCTTCCCACGAGGGCAGCGGCAGTGTGCGGGTGAGAGTGAGCGCTGGCGGTGGGTGCCGCTGCTACAGCTGCCGTTGACGGAGCAGACGCAGCAGAAGCGGCAGCAGCAGCGGCAGCAGCAACAGCGGCGGCAGTTGCAGCGGCAGTGGCAGCAGCAGTGGCAGCTGCAGTGGCAGCAGCGGTGGAAGCAGCAGCAGCATGATAGGCGGAGGTGGGCGGAAAACCCCCTTCAGCAGGGACGTTCATTTCCGTGAGTGTTACAGTAGAGGGGCGCGGGGGGAGAGGTTGCGACGAGCCTGCGGCGGCGGCGGCAGCGGCGAGATCGTGGAGGAAAGGATCCAGAGATGTATCGACAGCCATGGCGCCCGCGTGAGGCATACCCGGGTGGGCCATGCCGGGGTGGGTCATACCGGGGTGGGTCATACCTGGAAAGAACTGCTCTAGAAGGAACATGGACGGGTCAGCTGCGGCGGGGGAGAATGTGATAATCTGCCCCTCGGGGTGCAGACTGGGGGAGGAGGAGCCCGAGGGCGGGGAGTTTCCGCCGTCCTGCTTGGAAATCCTGCGCTTCTTGCGCCCCATGGCGGCGTGCGAGTGGGTGCGCTTCGCGTGGTCCGTCTGGTGTTGCATGAGCTGCGCGAGGAACGCGGGGTTCTGCACGGCTTTCGCGAGGAAAGTCATCATGTGCTGCTGCCGCTGCTCGTTCATCGCCACGCGCTGCTCCATCACCTGCATCGTGCTCGCCTGCTGCTGCTGCTGCTGCCGCAGCCGCACCAGCTCCAACATAAGAACGTTCTTGTCGCGCTTTAATCTCTCCACCTCGCCTTCTAGGCCGAACTTGCCGACCTCGACTAGGCTGGGCGACGCGGGGACGGGGAGCGCGCCGTGGAGCGACGCGGGGGAGTGCGGGTGGCCGTGGGGGAGAGAGGCGTTCGTCGCTGCTCCCGTCTGCGACGCGGGCTTGCGACGCTGGATTGTGCGAAGGAGGTGTCGCTGGCCTCGCAGGAAACCCTCGTTGGCGAACTCCCATCGGTCTGGATCCACCTTGCGAAACCCCTGAGTAACATTAGCGAAGCGGTCCGTGAGGGGAATGAACAAACTTTTTAATGATTCACACAATAATTTGCCTTAACCTGGACCTACGAACAGGAAGTTAGACTGGGAAGGAGCTTACCCATACTTAGGAATCAAGTGGAGGATACGAGGGTAATAGAGAATCCAAGAGGAATGCATAACAAGTCGAGAGAAGGTAAGACGTACGTAAGTGTTTAATTGGCGGACGAAGCTCGAGAAGTTGTTGTGTTTAAAGTACTTCGGCAGGAGGTCTCTGGCGAACTCGGGAGGGTTCCACACGACGAAACTGTTGTTACCACTACTCCACGACACTACATGGTCCGTCGTCGGGTCTTCCACCATGTCGTACGTCTTTATTAAAAACGGCGGCGGTTGGTTCGCCTGGTTTCCCTCCATTACTCCATTCATCTTCTTCCCGTTACCCGGTCCTACTGAACTATGCTGGTTGCTCGCAAACGAGCCCGCGAGCGGCGGTCTGCTAGGTTGTTGCACTGTCGTCGCGAGGCCTATCGGACCTTCCACGCTTATCGCAGACGCGACCATTGCTGAACCTCGCAGCAGCTAAGCCGCGAACCGTGACAATAAGAAACGAAAATTAGGAAAGCCGTTCTGCCAACCATGGCCTCATCGAAAAGCGGCACGGATCCGTGCCTTGAAGGGAGGCAGGCAGTTGAGCGTTCGGTTCTGCAGACGTCCCAGGAGGACCGCAACAGGACCAGTGTTGCCTTGAGTCTAGGTTTCTGTAACCTCCTCCGAGCCAGTGCTAAACCAACAAGAGCCACAGAAAGCGGAGGGTTCCAAACTCCCAACTGAATGGCACAGAGTGGGTGGTTGGCGTGACAAGGCCAGCGAGGTACAATCCATGGCGGCAGGCTGCTGCACCAAACCCTAATCTCGTCAGCTCGGGGGAAGAATCCATGTCGGACCTACTGGCCTGCTCCGTCACTGTCCCTGCTGACAAACTCGAGGCAAGTTTGGGCGTCCTTGTGCTTTGTGGAGGTTCGGCAAGCCGCTGCTAAGGAGGGCCAGAAAAGCCACTGGCAGGGGAGGGTTCGGGGTTGCCGAAGCTAGGATTCTGGTCTTCACAGCCTTGGGGGGTATTCCAAGGGTGACCAAACTGCCAAGCTGTGAAACGAGGCTGCGAAGGCCACAAACTCGAGACGAGCAAAGTGTGGTACGAAGACGGGGTGTGATTGGATGACGTAGAAAAGCTAGGGATATGCTTTTGCTTTTTCGCGAAAATGCGTGGAGGCTGGATTTCGCTCATAACCCCACGCTTGTCCGCGTCAGTGAGGGAGGTCTGGGAGTAGAGAAGCATGGAAGAACACTATGGCTCATATCTCCAGTATTCTCAATTTCAAATTCTCTAGCCTCTCCATGATTTAACCCAGCCTGACAGTTTGCAGTTTCCATGCCTCCGCCATTCCATTATTTCTCGCTTCAAATTCTGCCAAGGTGATGTTTTCAAGCCAAAGTGTACAAGCTTGGTGATCCAGGTAGTACTTTGGCTCATTATCATGGAAGTAGTTAAAATTTGCAAGACACACAGATTGTACATTGTACATCACAGCTCTAACAGTATGGTGGTGTATATCAGGACTTCATTCAAAGCCATTATACTGCAGCACATTATTACAACACACTGCACCGTGTTCAGTTAAACCTCAGATAGGCATTAGCTTTGTACGGCATGTGTTTACTGAACGTGCCATGCCCTTATTCCGAGCTTCAATTCAGTTCAAGTCCCCTACGTGAAACGCTATTCAGGAATGGGTACATTCAAAAATGATTATGCAGTAACACAAGAGTACAATTATGCCAAGGGTACAAGGCATGTATATCTTGATTGTTTACCCTAAACTACCTACAGAACCTAATCCCATGCGATAAATAATTGGAAAATCTCCTCAGCATTGCGGGCTCGAGGAGAGTGCTCGCCACATGCCATTCACCTCCATCCCTCCACTTCCCTTGTGTTCCTTCCTGATTCAGCCTTGCTCACCTTCCATCGTGCTCCACCTCCCACTATTGCCCGCTTGCAACTGATATGATGCCATGCCACACCATGGCAAGCCACACCATGTCATGCCACACCATGTCATGCCACACCATGTCATATCACACGATGCCATGCCACATCATGCCATGCCGCACCATGACATGCCACACCATGGAATTCCATACCATGCCATGACATACCATACCATGGCATGCCACACCATGCCATCCCACACCCAGCACTCAAATCTATGACACACCAGACCATGCCTCCCATGCTACAAAATACCACAGTAAAAGACACCACAATATACATGCCACGCTAAAACATGTCACACCATAACACACCACCAATCAACTTACCACAAAACGAGATCGGACACCATATTATTCCGGACCAATCAATCACATGCCAATGATATGCCACACCATAACACACCACACTACAGCATACCACTATAGCATACAGCACAACTGCATACTACACTGAATCATATCACATTATACCATATGTGAGGGGATGCATCCCCCATCCCTCTCTCACTTACCCACCCAAGTATCAACCCCTTTTACACTCACCCACCCACGCAAGGGGTTTCAGCCCCTTCTCTTCCACTCACCCACCCAAGGGGTTTCAGCCCCTTTTCTTCCACTCACCTGCCCAAGAGGGTTCAACCCCTTCTCTTCCACTCACCTGCCCACTTGTATCAAACACAAGGGAGAGTATTGGGAGGGGTTTGGCCTTCACATGTAATTCCTCCCTCTGCTCTCCACACTCCTGTCAAATCACCCTCACCCTCAGTTCACTTTTCTCTGCAGTTTCTGTTTACAACCTTTCCTCACCCCCCTCCACTCCCTTGTTACTCTTCTCCTCCATGCCTCCCCCGTCTCTCCCTGCAGCATCAGCAGCCAGTCCGTTCCTGCAGCAGAGGCTCATGTGGGCAGCCCAAGGGGTGGCACTCCAGCCAGGGGGAGTGTCAGAATGTCGATGTTTGTCTAGCCTGCAGTGGGGTACTCTATAGCGAGAACAACCCAATTAGGGTTTCCTATATGTATCTCAACTGCTGCTAGTGAAAACCCCTCTTTCCTGTTTCTCGTTTTCGCCTGTTGTTTCGACATGGTATCAGAGCAGGTCGACCCTCCTGGGTCGATCCTGTGGATGGGCCCGCCACCTAATGCTTCCGCTGCTGTCCTGCCTATCGCGCGCCCCGGGCGCGCGACGTGTTATGCTTGCCGCGCGCTCGGGTGCACGGCGTATTTTTCATCCCGCCGCGTGCTGCCCGCCGTGCGCCCCGAGGCGCGCGGCGGTTTTCTGCCCCGTCGATCCGCGCGTCGCCCCGCGTCGCCCGTCGCAGCGCCCCCGGGGACCCGCGCGTCGCCCCCCGGCGCCCGTAGCGGCCCGCGCGACCTGCGCTAGGCCCGCGCGCGGCCCGTACAGCCCGCGCGCGGCCCGTACGGCCTGCGCCAGGCCCGCGCGCGGCCCGTACGGCCTGCGCCAGGCCCGCGCGCGGCTCGTACGGGATGTGCCAGGCCCGCGCGCGGCCCGTACAGCCCGCGCGCGGCCCGTATGGCCTGCGCCAGGCCCGCGCGCGGCCCGTACGGGCTGCGCCAGGCCCGCGCGCGGCTCGGGCAGCCCGCGCGCGGTTCGTCCGGCCTGCGCCAGGCCCGTGAGCGGCCCGTACCGTCTGCCCCAGTGCCGCACGCCGTCCCCCGAGCTTCTGACCGCACTCCTGTGTTAGGGTTTGGGGGTGGAGAGTATGGGGGTGCCGTGTGTGTGAGCCGTCCCCTGCTCCTCCTCCTCCTCCGTCTCCCACTGCTGCAGCTGCCGCTGAGGGGGGTGGATGTGTTGGAGCCGTCGGAGTGGTACGAGGGGGGTGGCGTGTGAGCGGTGCTAGTGGTTCAGCAGGGGGTGTGTGAAAGGGGTGTGGGACAGTTGGGGGAGGTTGACCGGAGGTAGCCGACTTGTCGTCCGCAGCGCCTGAAGTCCAGAGAGCCACGACCCCCTGTGGCCGTGTAGTCCGGGGCTCGGCGCCCGGTAGCCACAGTGTGAGCACTCCTGGGAGCACAGTGAGCCAGCTGCGCCTGTCGCCGTGTAGCCCGGGTTTAGGGTCAGTGCTGCGCACTCCTGTTGCCCGTGTGTCTGCAGCTTCAGCCGTCGCCTCTCATCTTCTCGTCCTCCATAGTTTCTCCTCCTCCTCACTTGCCCTCTGTGATAGCCTCTAGCTTTGCTTATCCTTGTGAACTATTGCACTGCCTGCTTGTTGTATTGATTGTACCCCACTTTGACTATGGGGATGTGTCAGAATGTCGATGTTTGTCTAGCCTGCAGTGGGGTACTCTATAGCGAGTACAACCCAATTAGGGTTTCCTATATGTATCTCAACTGCTGCTAGTGAAAACCCCTCTTTCCTGTTTCTCGTTTTCGCCTACTGTTTCGACAGGGAGGGCATGCGGGCAGCCCAAGGGGTGGCACTCCAGCGAGGGGGAGAGCATGCGGGCAGAGCATGCGGGCAGAGCATGCGGGCAGGGCATGCGGGCAGCCCAAGGGGTGGCACTCCAGCCAAGGGGAGAGCATGCGGGCAGCCCAAGGGGTGGCACTCCAGCTAGGGGGAGAGCATGCGGGCTGCTCCCTGCTGCACAAGGTGGGATGCTTTCCGCTTTCATCCCTGCTGCATCCCCGCCTTCGTATCCCGTTAGCCTCTTTCGATTGAGCCTCTCGTCGCGCCACAACTTCCAGCCACATGCCCCTTTTTCTTAGGTAACCCCCCCAAGGTACAGCCCTCTCAGGTTAAGCCTCCCTCCTTTTGTATATTAACCTCCCCATCCCCCCCCCTGGTCTGTGGCTTGTAGCTGAGGCTGCACCAGTGGCCCCTTTTCCTGCTGTCACCTGCCATCCCACCCCACCCATGCACTCCTCTCACATTTCTACCCCTAGCCGCTTACTCACTGCTCTTCAGCTTTCTCCTTGTAGGTGGAGGGGAGGGGCGTGGGGGTCAACACCTCCACTCCCCCACACCTTTCCCCTATGGCCATGCAGGTACCCGTGGGGATGGGAGGGAGGCAGCATTGCAGCAGATTGCAACCGCTGCCACAAGGGAAAGAATCGGGCCGCTGCCACAAGGGAGGGTATCGGGCCGCTGCCACAAGGGAGGGTATCGGGCCGTTGCCACAAGGGAGAGTATGGGGCTGGGCTTGGCCACTCCAGGTGCATCACCTTTCTGCCCTCAAACCCCCTCTGCAAATTTTTCTTCACGTTAGCATAATCCTTTCTACGTATATTTCGGTTCAGTTCTGATTCCGCCACCTTCAGTTTGATATCTGACTTGGTGCATTTGGCACTCCACCAAGACCTCCTGCCACCACTCACTCATTATGCTTTTCCCCCGTTTTGCCTGCCTCCGGGTCAGTGGGCATCAACAAAAGATTGCAGCAGACGAAGTTGAGAAGCAGACCGGCAGCAAAAGTGGCGGCCGCAGCAGCAGTACCAGCCGTGGGGGTTGGGGTGGAGGACAGGCTAGGCTAGAGGAGTCGATGGGGGTCTAGTTGTGAGCGATGTATGGTAACAGGTGAGGTATGGTAACAGGTGAGGCATGGTCATCTGATCCCCTCCTCTCGCTCTTCCCCGCCCTCTCACCTCCAGGTAGAGTGTGGGAGCACTGGAGCAAGGGCAAAAGATTGGAGTCCACCCTTCTCACTCACCCCCTCCTCTCCCTTTTTTCTTTCCTCCCAGCAGCACCCTGCCTGGACCACAGTGGAATCTTGCCCTTCATTTATCCTCCCCCATTCCTCCCTCCCCACTTCCCACCAGCTGCAACTAACATGACGCCCTGCATGGCTGTGGTAGGTGGAGGTAAAGAGGCATGGGGATGAAGTGTGGGGTGGGTGGGTGGGGAGAAAGCAGTGAGTTCACTGCCTTAGGGGCAGCATCCTCTGGGGTTGTGCCTTGTGGGTGAGGTATGGTGGGTGGAATCTGCCCGGCACGGAATTCGGTGCTCAAGTTCCCGATCTGGCGTTTAAGGCTTAATGGACACCGTCAGACCCGACCGACCGGCGGCTCTGGTTCGCGTCAGCTCTAGTTACGTCACGGGTGGGATTTGAGTCTTGGACTGCAAGCGCTTTTCCACTGCCACACCTCGCCCCACAAGGCACAACCCCTGGGGGTGTTGTTTCCCTGAGGAAGTGGGCTGTCTGATGCTCCTACCGCTGGCAGGTGAAGGTGGGGAAGGTTGAGTTAAGGTGGTGGTGGTGAGTGGGTGGGGATTGGTATGTGAGGGGTGGTAGATGGATGGGAGACGGGTGGGTGGGTGGTGACTTGGGGTGGTGGGCAGTTGGGGGTGCTTGGGTGGTGACTAAAAGGGCGCGGATAGATGGGTGTGGATATGAGCGACTGGGTGGGTGGTTGGTGGTGATTGGTGGGGGGGTGGGTACTTGGGGGTGGGTAGTACGTGGGGGTGGTGGTACTTGGGGGTGAGTGGGTACTTGAGGGTGGGTGGTACTTGGGGTTGGGTGGTACTTGAGGGTGGGTGGTACTTGGGGATGGGTGGGTACTTGGGGGTGGGTGGTAATTGGGGGTGGGTGGTACTTGGGGGTGGGTGGTACTTGGGGGTGGGTGGTTCTTGGGGTGGCTGGTACTTGGGGGTGGGTGGTGCTTGGGGTGGGTGGTACTTGGGGGTGGGTGGTACTTGGGGGTGGGTGGTACTTGGGGGTGGGTGGTACTTGGGGGTGGGTGGTATTGGGGGTGGGTAGTACTTGGGGGTGGGTGGGTACTTGGGGGTGGGTGGTACTTGGGGGTGGGTGGTACTTGGGGGTGGGTGGTTCTTGGGGTGGGTGGTACTGGGGGTGGGTGGTGAGCCAGTGGTTGCCGGCGGATGGGTAGAGAGGTGAATGGGGGGCTGTGGGCAGTTGAGGTTGAGTGGGTGAGTGAGTGGATGTGGGTGGGTGGGTGAGAGGGGAGGAGGGGGGTGATGGGAAGTTGGGGGTGAGTGGATGAGTGAGTGGTTGCAAGTGGATGGGTAGAGGTGACTGGGGGGTCGTGAGTAGTTGGTGGTGGGTGGGTGGTTACTAGGGGGGTGTAAATAGTTGGGTATGGGTGGGCGAGAGGGTGGGTAGGTGGGGGGTGACTGGGGGGCTGTGGGCAGTTGGGGGTGAGTGGGTGAGTGAGTGGGTTGCTGGGTGGATGGGATGTGACTGGGGGGTGGTGTGGTAAGTTGGGGGTGAGTGAGTGGTTACTAAAAGGGTGTATGTAGTTGGGTGTGGGTGGTAAAGAAGGTGGGCGTTGATTGGGGGGTGATGGGCAGTTGGGGTGAGTGGGTGAGCGAGTGGTTGTGGGTGGGTGGGTAGAGGTGAATGGAAATGTGTTGCCTCCCCCTGCCACCCCCTCCCCTGTCGCTTTCCTCTGCCCTCCCTCTGTTCCTCCCTCCCTCCCCTCTGTCGCCTCCCCTTTATCACCTCTTGGGCCCTGGCCTATTTTTGTCATTCCCCCTCTCTGTGTCTCTTGCCCTCCATTAGATGGGACTAGGTCAAGGCATCCCTTGATACACCTGCCATGGTATCCGCTACTCTCAAGCTAAGTAGCTTGGATCTACGTCTTTCCTTGGACATGTCAACATATGATTTTATAGCGTAGGTGAGCTCAACTGGTTTTTGTTGAGGTTGAATTGGGAACAAAGTTCTCAAAACTTGGATTATCCTAAACCCTAAACCCTTGAACATAGAGCGCAAGTTCAGCATTGCAAATGCGGAGGGAACGAAGGTGAAGAGTATAGCGTTTCTAATGGACATACTACGGTATGTGAGGGGGAATTTGAGGGTTGTTAGATAAGATTATGTTCATGGAATGCTACTACGTTTGTAATATTTGTGTTTTCAGAATATCTGCCCAATGGGGCCTTCGTCTACCATTGATTTGCAAATGCAAGTTGTATGTGAGAAATTTACTTAGTTTTCACTTGTCGTTGAGGTACCGGTATGCTGGATAAAAAATATGTTGCTGAGATTTGTGTTGTGAGGATGACCCCTGGGACCCGCTCGACAACATCCAAGCCTCGGAGTTGCCAGATAATCAATCCTCCGTGTCACTTCAAGTGCCTCTCGAGTTTGCTTTTGCCACACTCCTCCTCACCCCGGGAAGAAGCTCAACTCCGCGTACTGCATCTTTCGCTTTCATTCAAAAGCTGTGGGGCGGTGGCTATTAGTCACTCGGCAATAGCAACAGCAGCAGCAGCAGCAGCAGTAGCCAGAGCTTGCCGTGCTTCTCCGCACCGCGTACCTTCGCTCGTGCCTGACGGCTTCGTTCCATAAACAGCTCGGATTTCCGCGAATCTTCGCTTACCAACCCTAATGGCACACGCGGCTTCATGTTCGCGGGTTCCTGCCGCCACGCAATTTTGCACTCAATCCAAAGCTAGGCCGAACGTTTGCCGAACCTGCGATGGCTGCACTCGGTCCCCGAGCCTTTGCGGAGCTTCGGCGTCCGTTAGATTCGGTGCATCTGGTCAATCGAGCGCGGCGTTGTTGTATTCACCTGCGCTTCGACCGATGCGTGGCGATCCACGTGGACACGCGAGGTTGGGTTCGGCGGAAGGTTCGCGCCGGCTGGTTTGTCGAAGCGCGTTGCTGGAAGACGAGTCGGACGGAGAAAGGTGAGGGAACGGGAAGAGTTCGACGACGGATAACGGAATCCGTCAGTGGGTTGATACCAGTCGAGGTACTTCCAGCCAGCGTGTTAACGAAGAGGTGGACGTGTCTAGGTGAGACGACGGGGAAAAGTGAGGCGACAGGATTCGTCAGTGGGTAAATTCGTTTGCGGTAAATCCTCCCAGCGTGTTCTGAGGACGATTCGAACGACCCTAGGTGAGAGACGACGAGATGAGTGTGCGTGCGCGCATCGGGACGAGCAATCGCTGCTGCGATAACGTGATTCATGCAAACAGTGCGTTGATGAATCACGATAACACGTATTTATTTGACACGTCTCAGAAAAGGAGTTGTTGAATCACCCCAAATGTTTGTGCACCAACGGAGACGAGCGTTCGCTGCATCGAATAACGATAGCTCAGTCGAGCAGTGCTTACTTTTCGTGAGAACAGCCGGTTTGCATATGGTGGATTGAAAACCGCTTGCTTTGAGCGGGATCTGGCTTTCTGTGTTCATCTGGCGTAACAGTACAGGACCTACACGTTCTCTCTTCCCTCCTCGCCCATCCTCCCCAGCTGCTCGCATTCCCCCGGCAGCACCAGGGAGGCACCAGCACTGAAGAAAGCAGTGCCTGGGAGCAGCAGGAGCTGGCAGGAGACCACCGTGTCAGCTGCTGCATTTTCTGAGATCCCCCCCACACTCTTCCCTCCCCCCTTCCTCCAGCACCAGAAACCCACCAGCGGTGAAGAAAGCAGTGCCGGGCGCCAAGCCCGGGAGCAGCAAGAGCTGGCAGGAGACCACCGCGTCAGCTGCTGCTGTCTCTGATATTTCTGTCACGCCCTCCCCCATCCACCCCCCTTCTCCTGCTCGCATTCCCCCTTGTAGCGCAAGGGAAGCAGCAGCGAAGAGAGCAGTGCCGGGCGCCAAACCCGGGAGCAGCGGGAGCTGGCAGGAGACCACCGCGTCGGCTGCTGCTCTCTCTGATACTCTTCTCTTCACACACACCCTCCCCATTCCCCTCATCTCCTCCCTTCCCCCGCCCCTCCGCCCCACCCCTGCCCTTGCATCACCAGGAACCCACCGGCCCTGAAGAAAGCAGTGCCAGGCGCCAAGCCCGGGAGCAACAAGAGCTGGCAGGAGACCACCGCGTCAGCTGCTGCTGTCTCTGATATTTCTGTCACGCCCTCCCCCATCCACCCCCCTTCTCCCGCTCGCATTTCCCCTTGTAGCGCAAGGGAAGCAGCAGCGAAGAGAGCAGTGCCGGGCGCCAAACCCGGGAGCAGCGGGAGCTGGCAGGAGACCACCGCGTCGGCTGCTGCTCTCTCTGATACTCTTCTCTTCACACACACCCTCTCCATTCCCCTCATCTCCTCCCCTCCCCCGCCCTCCGCCCCACCCCTGCCCTTGCAGCACCAGGGAATCACCGGCACTGAAGAAAGCAGTGCCGGGTGCCAAGCCAGGGAGCAGCAAGAGCTGGCAGGAGACCACCGCGTCGGCTGCTGCTGTAGCCGCCCTTCTTGACAGCGCGGCAGGCGGCAGCGTAGCAGAAAAGGCCTCACCTGCGTTTGCTTCGAGTGCTGCTGCTACAGGCAGCTCTGCTACAGCCGGTGCTGCAGGTGGGGCCGCTACAGGCGGTGCGTCAGCAGCAGGGCCGGCGGCAGCAGTGGTGGGCGAGTTCTGCATCATCGAGGGGCCGGACGCGCTGCAGGACTTTGCTCGCATGCAGCTCACTGAGATCCGCGACAACATCACCTCCCGCCGCAACCGCATTTTCCTGCTGCTGGAAGAGGTGAGGCAGAGGGGAAAGGGTGGGGTAAGAAGTGGGAAAAGGCATGCTGCTGCTGCCGCCGCGTCTCCTGCTGCTGCTGCATCAGGTGGTGTGGCTGTGGGTTGTAGGACCAAAGGTGCAGGGTGGGTGGCGGCAGTGGTGGGCGAGTTCTGCATCATTGAGGGGCCGGACGCGCTGCAGGACTTTGCTCGCATGCAGCTCACTGAGATCCGCGATAACATCACCTCCCGCCGCAACCGGATTTTCTTGCTGCTGGAAGAGGTGAGGCCGAGAGAAGGGTGGGGTCGTGTCGTGAGGGGGAACAGGCTGAGAGAGACCACAAGATCAGATCAAATCAGATCAGATCAGACCAGATCAGGTCATCACATCAGGGAAGACAATAATGAAGCGGATGAAAAAGCCGTTGCCCCCCCGTTTCTGTCCCCCTTACAACCAGATTCGCTGGCTGCGCATTCAGCAGGAGATCAAGAACGCAGAGGAGAGCCGTTTGTTTTCAACGACTAAACAACACTTCCATGCCTCCTCCCCCACCCCCTCCTTTTTTGTCCCCTTTATAACCAGATTCGCCGGCTACGCATTCAGCAGGAGATCAAGAACGCCGAGGAGAGCCGCAACAGAGCAGCAGCAGCGGCCGCACGGGCGAAGCTGGGGGGACTGCCAGGAGAGGAGGAGGAGGAGATGCCCGAATACCCCTCGTCCATCCCGTTCCTTCCTCCCCTGGTGAGTCTGCTTTTGAGGCACCTCAAAGCGAGCAGCACCTGCCTCACGAGCGAAGCTGGGGGGGCTGCCAGGAGAGGAGGAGGAGGAGGAGATGCCCGAGTACCCCTCGTCCATCCCCTTCCTTCCCCCTCTTGTGAGCACTGAACGTACCTGTGAGTCCTCTTTTGTAAAGCCTCTGTTATGAGGCCGCTCTTAGAGCAGCAGCTGCAGCCGCACGGGCGAAACTGGGGGGGCTGCCAGTGGAGGAGGAGGAGGAGATGCCTGAGTACCCCTCTTCGATTCCCTTCCTTCCCCCTCTTGTGAGTTGTCTAAGAACCTTGAGAAAGCTTTTCAATGCTAGCTGCATGGGCGAAACTGGAGGGCCTGCCAGTGGAAGATGAGGAGGAGATGCCCGAGTACCCTTCCTCCATCCCGTTCCTGCTGCCACTTGTGAGTGTGCTTTTGAGATGTATTTGAGTTGAGTCAGACAGCCGTGCGAGACGGGGGGGTCTGCCAGGGGAGGAGGAGGAGGAAATGCCCGAGTATCCCTCCTCAATCCCGTTCCTGCCCCCACTTGTGAGTCTGTTTTCGATTCCCTTCCTGCCCCCTCTTGTGAGTCTTTAAAGATGAAGAATGATCGGTGTACGGGTGGGAAGAGTGGCAGTGGAGCGCAAAGAGAAGGAGATGCCAGAGTATCCCTCCTCGATTCCATTCCTGCCACCACTTGTGAGTGCTGAATTGAAACACCTTATGATTATTTTTCTGTGACGCCGCTGGTAGAGCAGCAGCAGCAGCAGCAGCAGCAGCAGCAGCAGCAGCAGCAGCAGCAGCAGCAGCCGCACGAGTGAGATTGGGCGGCCTGCCAGTGGAGGAGAGGAGATGGCGAAATACCCTGTCGCTGTCTCTGTCTCTGCTTCTCTTTCTGATACTGTTTATTTTCTTGCCTCTGTTTCTGTTTCCGTCCCAAACAACGGGCACTCTCAAGGAGTATGGCATCACGTTCGCCTTCCTGGTTGCCAGCCTCACATGACTTACCTTTCTTGGTTCCTCCGCTTCCCTCTCCTCGTGCCGTCTCCCCCCTGCATGACTGCAGAAAACGGACACCCTCAAGGAGTATTACATCACGTTCGCCTTCCTTGTCGCCAGCCTGACGTGACTTACCCCTCTCGCTTCCACCGCCCTCGTGCCCCCCTCCCCCCTGCACGACCACAGAAAACGGATACTCTGAAGGAGTATTACATCACGTTCGCCTTCCTTGTGTGACTAACCTCTCGGTTCCTCCTCTGCTTTCCTCTTGTGACCTACCTACCCCCCTGCACGACCACAGAAAACGGATACTCTGAAGGAGTACTACATCACGTTCGCCTTCCTTGTTGCCAGCCTCATCATCTTTGGTGGCCTTGTGGCGCCCACTGTAAGGGGGATGCACTGATAGTGGGTTGTGCTGTTCATGCGATGCAAGTGTATTACTGTTCCTTGTTGCCAGCCTCATCATCTTTGGTGGCCTTGTGGCGCCCACTGTAAGGGGGATGCACTGATAGTGGGTTGTGCTGTTCATGCGATGCAAGTGTATTACTGTTCCTTGTTGCCAGCCTCATCATCTTTGGTGGCCTTGTGGCGCCCACTGTAAGGGGGATGCACTGATAGTGGGTTGTGCTGTTCATGCGATGCAAGTGTATTACTGTTCCTTGTTGCCAGCCTCATCATCTTTGGTGGCCTTGTGGCGCCCACTGTAAGGGGGATGCACTGATAGTGGGTTGTGCTGTTCATGCGATGCAAGTGTATTACTGTTCCTTGTTGCCAGCCTCATCATCTTTGGTGGCCTTGTGGCGCCCACTGTAAGGGGGATGCACTGATAGTGGGTTGTGCTGTTCATGCGATGCAAGTGTATTACTGTTCCTTGTTGCCAGCCTCATCATCTTTGGTGGCCTTGTGGCGCCCACTGTAAGGGGGATGCACTGATAGTGGGTTGTGCTGTTCATGCGATGCAAATGTATTACTGTTCCTTGTTGCCAGCCTCATCATCTTTGGTGGCCTTGTGGCGCCCACTGTAAGGGGGATGCACTGATAGTGGGTTGTGCTGTTCATGCGATGCAAGTGTATTACTGTTCCTTGTTGCCAGCCTCATCATCTTTGGTGGCCTTGTCGCGCCCACTGTAAGGGGGGTGTAGTGCGTGGTGGGTTCTGCTGCAAGGAGGATGCACTGTTCATGGGTTACACTGTATGGGGGATGCACTGTTCATTGGATGCCTCATCATCTTATGGCGCCCACTGTAAATGGGAGGATGTAGTGTTTATGGGTTCGGCTTTTCAAAAGGGCACTGTTGATTTGTTGATGCACATGCGTTATTTGTTACTGCCCCTTTCTCCCCCTTCCCACATTTCTGTCCCCTTTTTATGCGCTTTTACTCAATTCTTCATCCATTCTTTTCCTCCCTCCCCCATTTTCTCCCTCTCTCCCTCCCTCTCTCTCTCCCTCCCTCCCTCCCTCCCTCCCTCCCTCCTCTCCCTCTCTCCCTCCCTCCCCCCGTTTCCCTTCTCATATCATCAGCTGCAACTGCGTCTGGGCATGGGTGGCACGTCCTATGAGGATTTCATTGCCAGCATGCACCTGCCCCGCCAGCTCAGGTAGGCTGCTGGGTGTGAGGGGGACACACATATACGAGTCAGTGCAGGTGTTGTCTTGCGTTTGGGCATGGTTGGGACGTCCTATGAGGACTTTATCGCCAGCATGCACCTGCCACGCCAGCTCAGGTGAGTTGGTTGTGACTGAGAAGGCAGAGAAGGGGAGCTGGTGGGTCAGTCAGTGGTGGTGAAGGAAGATGAGTGGGGCTGGTGGGTGTGAGTTGAGTCAGACGCACCATATGAATCAGTGCAGCTTGTCTTGCGTTATGGGCATGGGTGGCACGTCCTATGAGGACTTCATCGCCAGCATGCACCTGCCATGCCAGCTCAGGTGAGCCGGCGAGTGAGAGGGGGCACCTGAGGGCTGGTGGGAAAAGGGAAAAGAGTATTTGTGCGTGCTCACTCCCCACGCCCCTTCTTGAGCCGGCTCACAATGAGTGACCGTGCATGCTCATTCGCACCCAACGAATCCAAACCCTGCGAATTTACATTCTGCGAATTCACACCCTGCAAATCCACACCCTGCGAATTCACACCCTGCGAATTCACACCCTGTCAGCACTGCTGCTGGTGGAGGTGGTGCCTCGACTGCTGGCTGGGGTTTAACCCTGGTGGATCCCTGTCTCCTCCCCTCCCATTCACTCCTCTCCTCCCCATGCTGCAGCCAAGTGGATCCCATAGTGGCTTCCTTCACAGGGGGAGCAGTGGGCGTGCTGTCAGCGCTGCTGGTGGTGGAGGTGAACAACGTGAAGCAGCAGGAGCACAAGCGCTGCATGTACTGCCATGGATCGGGTATGTGCGTGTGCCATGTGCTGCCACGGATCAGGTATGTACTGCCATGCACAAGCGCTGCATGTACTGCCATGGCTCGGGTATGTACTGCCATGTATCCGGTATATGTGATAGGGAGACCGACTGCTGTCAGCGCTGCTGGTGGTGGAGGTGAATAACGTGAAGCACCAGGAGCACAAGCGCTGCATGTACTGCCATGGATCAGGTATGTGCGTGTATTTGGATTGTAGAGAACCGACTGCTCTTTACCTGTTGTTTCAGTGGAGAACACAAGCGCTGCATGTGTTGCCGTGGATCGGGTATGTGTGTGCCATGCGCTGCCGTGGATTGGTTATGTCAGTTTCCTGATTTGTTCATCCATCCCATGCCTCCCTACGACTCTGTTGATTTCTGTTGAACGGTATCAACGTTTTTCCCCCTCTCACCCCATCTTTCCCCGTCAAGGCTGTGCCCGGTGCGCTGCCACAGGCTCGCTCATAGACGTGCAGCTCGAGGGGGAGTGGCAAGTCCTTCCTTTGACTCTGTTGACTATTGTTGAATGCTTCTAATCTTCCTCCCTCTCCTCTTTTCTCCCTGCCTCCAGGCTACCTGGCCTGTGCCTGCTGCGCTGCCACAGGCTCGCTCATAGACGTGCAGCTGGAGGGGGAGTAGCAAGTCCTTCCTTTGACTCTGTTGACTCTTGTTGAATGCTTCTAATCTTCCTCCCTCTCCTCTTTTCTCCCTGCCTCCAGGCTACCTGGCCTGTGCTCGCTGCTCTGCCACGGGCTCACTCATAGACGTGCAGCTGGAAGGAGGTTGCGCAACTGCTTCCCTCTGACTTGGTTGACTTCTGTTGAATCCAAAGTACCTTTCCCTTCCTTCTCCCCGTCTCTCCACTGCCTCCAGGCTACTTGGCGTGTGCCCGCTGCGCTGCCACAGGGTCGCTGATTGACGTGCAGCTGGAGGGGGAGGGGTCAGCAGACGGGGGTGCTGCCAATGGAGCGCTGGCAGCAGCAGGAGGAGCAGGGGGGGCGGTTACCACTGCTCGGCGGCAAGGCATGAAGGTGGCCAAGCGGTGTCCCAACTGTGCTGGTCTACGCAAGGTGAGAAGGGGCTTGGGCATCGGAGTACGGGGCAAGTGCATGCATGGGGTTGAGAAGTGGCCATTTGGATTTTTGTTTGACAGATGAGGATCACTAGGGACAAGGCATAAGGGCAGTCCGAGGCCTGAGTTGTTTTTTGATAGAATCTGTCGAGTGCTCGTGTTTTGAAGATGTTCATTCAGCAGTGTCTAATCTGCCATTCATGCCATGAACCGTTCATTCGTTCCCCACCTTCATTCCCTCGCCACATTCAGGTCATGTGCCCTACTTGCTTGTGCACGGGGATGGCACTTGCCACAGAGCACGATCCGCGTATCAATCCCTTCGAGTGATTGGTGGCGCCCAATATTTGTCGCATGCACAATTTTGTCTCTGAACACTAAGAATACTACATTTTCTGTTATGCAGGTTTGGCATGTTGAAGTATTTTTACCAATGATAGTACCACAGTTTGTTGGCACGTTACCAAAGGAACTGTCTCCATGTTGAAACACATTCATTGTTTGGCTCTCTAGTCTGCTTCTATAGAGGATATCGTGTTTGCGCTTGTCCGAACTGGACCTTGCCATCCCTCCTAGTGGTGAAGGCGACCGCGCCGGATCCAGCGGATACGGAAATGGTGGTCAATGTTTGTAGGGTGTGCCAGCGCGATTACAGCTTCTCAAGTTTCATTGGCTCTGCGGAACGAGCACGTGAAACTCGTCCACCCTGGCTCATGGAATCCCATCGCAGATATCTATCGCCACAGTAATGGCGGTGAGAGTGTCCCTTCCTGATCGCATCACTACAGTTTTCTAGTTTCCGTTTGCACGGGTAGGAAACAGCTGTTTTTTGTGGCAGATGAGTCAACGGACTGGGTGCAATGAGAACCGACCGATGCACGAGAATTGATCGGATAGAAATTCGGAATTGAAACTGCAACGAGCGCCATGCGCACTGGATTGGCTGCAGATTTTGATACTTTTCATATTTGTCAGGTTGCCTGACGCTCTGGGCAGAAACAAACTCGCACATACAGTGAAGACTTTTACAAAAGCACTACACGGACCAGAATTTGCACTTCGCGCCAACGATATTGTAATTTGCGCTCATAACAATTTCCCGATCCGTTATGCGCCTGCACGGCGCAATTCTGCCAACGCGATTCGTACTCCCTGCCATCCCGAAATTCCATCTCCTACATCCCTCTCTCTGCACAAAATTGCCTTCACTGCAAAGCTGATCCTCTACAAACGCATCAGCAAATTCCATGTGCCCCAAGATCCATTTCTGTTTCTTTTGCGAATCTCGCGATATTCCCCCTCCATTCCACGAACGTGAAGTCACCGCCATTTTACCCAAATCCCGCAAACCAGGTCAGGGAATTCTCGAGCTGGACCTTGATGTATCCAAGAGACGCATCAGCCGTCGTAAGTGCAGTACGTGGCTATGATTCCGTGTGGCCGCGGCACATGGGACCAATAGGAATGAGGGTGACTCTCGCCGCCCCGTCGTGCCACGGGTGGGTCATGGCGACTTGCCATCGTCGTTTCTGTGCAACTCTCACTGCAACGCCCGTCCTGCTCGCAAACTTCTCAAGAGCTTCGTTACTGAGGCGCGACGACGATCCACGACAGCCAAGTGTCGCGAGTCAGCGACGAGACGATCCTTTCTTTCATGTTTCAGCGATTTCGCATGTTACGGCTTGCAGTGACTGCATTGTCGTTCATAACCTCCCGCGTCCAGCGCGGCAGAGGCAGTTTCTCGCGTGTTTGTTTGTTCCTTCGACTCGAAGCTAGCTCAGTTATTTGAGACTTCTCAAAAGGTTATCGCGATAACAGAGTCCAACGCGACTGTCAGTTTCGAGGCTCCGACTGCTTACGAGGCTCTCACTCTCGTCGACTCAACAAACGATTTTCTTAATCACGCTTGTCAGAAAGCCTACGTCCCCTCGTAGTAGCGACCTCTGAAGGCGCGGCGCAGTCTCAAGTTTAGGCGCGCACGCGTCGATTTGGATCGGGGATCAATAGTCCATATCTGCGTCAATTTTCAGTCACCGAAACTGCCAGTAGCTCAGCCCGACTGGGGTTTTCGAAAAGCCCTCCTCACGACTACGGAAACTCGCTTATAGAATGGCATGCCTCACGACTGTCACAGCAACAGAAGCAGCAGCAGCAGCAGCAACGCGCGGCGGGCCTGATAATTCTCTCTTCCGCTACCGCGGCGTGCGGCAGCGCACGTGGGGGAAGTGGGTGGCGGAGATCCGCGAGCCGCGACGCAAGGTGCGCCTATGGCTCGGCTCTTTCGTGTCCGCGGAGCAAGCCGCGCGCGCGTACGACCGCGCGGCGCGGAAGCTGTACGGCGCGGACGCGGTGCTTAACTTCCCCGCTGGCCCCCCGCCTGCCGCAGCGCCTGCTCCGAACGGGAAATGTCCCCCCTCCGCCAGCGCCGAGAACCTCGAATCGTCCATCACGAGCGCCGCGAGTGGCGGAAGCCGAATCGACCCCGTCACAGTGGTTCCTGCGGTTCACCCCCGAGCAACACCCGTCGGCCCCGGTACAAGCACATCGTGGAGCTATAACCTTCGCAACCACCGCCGCGATAGCAGCGAGAGTAACAGCTTCCCGAGGTTGTCAAATTTCCCCATTCCCGCCCCTAATCCCGCCCCTATTCCCGCCCCTAATGCCGCTCCTGCTACTCCTGCTCCCATTCCTACGGCTAATCCCACTGCCGCTTTCGGCGCAAGTACCAGCGGCGGCACCAGCGGTCTCCCCAGCTGCCCGTCGCCATGGCTCGCGCGTTTCATGCTCGAGATCCAGGAGATGCGCAAACTCGCCGAGATTCGCGGCCTTGCCGGGAGTTCAGGCTTCGGTCGCGAGATCCACGCGCAGCAACCAAGCCGCGGCGCGCAGCCGCCAAGCAGCGACGCCTCGTCAGATATCGCGACGAATCAGAGTCGGACTTTCGCGGCGGCGGCGAGCTGCCAGGCCCGTGAGTCGTTGCTACCGCCTTCGCTGCCCAATGTGTTCCCCGTCGCGAGGTCAGACGCGGGCGGGGCGGGATGCGCGAAGACGTTTGTCGAGGAAAGGCTTACGAGCCTCGAGGAGCACGTCTTGTTCCCGTTCTTCCTTTCCCAGCAGCGGCGAGTGGAAGGAGCGCACCAGAGGTGGCATGGGGAGCAGCTTCAGCTGCAGCAGAATCAGTTCCTGCAGAATCAGCAGCAGCATAAACCACCGCCCGTACCCCAGCAGTCCTCATCACACCATCATGCGTGTCAGCCTGCAGTGGAATCGCAAGCCTCCCCCCATTCCCCGTCCCCTTTCAGCCTGGTACCAGCTCTCCAGGCGCTTACGGCGAAGCTTCCTGGAACAACTCCAAAGGCTGCTGCTTGGTCGAGTCAGAGGACGCGAGTAGCCGAGGTGCTAGGAGCGATGCAGACGCTACCACCGTTCGTTCTGCCTGCTGCTGCACCGTTGAACAAGCCCCTGTGCCGTCAGCCGCCTGCCATCCCTGCTGCTCCAGCAGCTGTGCACTTGTCCGCATCGCACCTGTCAGCACCGCACCCGACCGCATCGCACCCGACTGCATCTCACCCATCTGGATTGCACCCGTCGGAAGCATACCCACGAGCAAGCTCTCTCCCAGCGTTTAGCGACCCCCAGCAGATCCTCCTGGAGCACTACTTGAGGCTCTCGAAGCTCCACGTGGCAATGCAGGGTTATAACTCTGCAGCCGCCCCTGCCACGTCAGCAGGCTTGGTCCTGGTGAAAAAAGAAGAGGCATCAGGCATTGCAGTGACGCCTGTGGGAAAGTCCCTGGGCGTTCAGGGGAAAGGGATCCAAGGAGCATTGGATGGGATGCATGGGGCGAGTGAGCAGAGCTGCTTGAGCCCAGGGAAACGGGCGCGATGCGAGGAGGTCCGCGGTGGAGATGGGTCCGGTGCTTTGCAGGGTGATGTGGATGGCGGTTCTAGCATGAAACGCATGTGCCTGCGGAAAAATGGAAGCGGGGCAAAAGATAGCGGTGTTTCGGAAGGGTTAGACGGCGGCAGCAGCAGCAGCAGCAGCAAGGTGCTTGAAGAGGGTGGGAGCGCTGGAGGCATGAGCCGAGGAAGAAATAGCTCTTGGGGGGAGTGTGGGGCAGAACTTGTCTCCCTGGGGTCTGATGCTGCTAATTTCCAGCTGGAGGGGGACGTTTGGGGATTGGAGGGATTGGAAATGCTGCTTCCAGGACTTAGCGAGCAAGAGCTTGCGATAACAGCTGAACCATGGGATATGTGGTGAATTCCAATTACTTACAGCGTTTTTTCCTCGATGTAAATACCTTGGAGATATTTATATTGCTGGCATCTTGTATTGTTGGATCGTTATTTCAATTGATTATTGCAACCAAATTTCCAGCTCCCTAGTTTCAGGCAGCTGACATGACAACACAGCAGCAACATGCCTCCTAGAAACGACATGACTGACTGAGCGAAGCAGAAGGCTGACGACGAAGACGAACCGAACTGCTGTTGTTGTTGCTGGGAATTCGGATGAAACGCTGATCGCAACTGGTCGCAGAGCGATTCGTCGTCGTGAAGTCAGCGTTTCCTGGTCGAGACCGCATCATGCTTTCGCAGCGGAATCCTTCGCAGCCGAATCCTTTGTAGCCAACCAGGGGACAACTGCGATCGGGAAGACATCACCCGAATCCCTCCGATCCCCCCCTTTCGCCCCTGCGGGTTTTCCTCGGAGGGATTTTCGTTTTCCCTCTGTCGCGTGGCGGGGCACGCGAGGGGCGGGAGCCAGCCCACCCGCCCGCCCGAAACGAGCCCCGCCAGCTCGGAGTGACGCGAGGTGGTCCCCGCTCGAGCTGGCGTTGACCCCACGTGCTCCCCCCCGTCTGCACCAACCCCGCCTGCACCAACCCCCCTGTCCGTCGAGTAAATCCGCCTCCGTCGACGGATTCCGTCTCGACTCGACGGAAAGTGGTGCAGAGAAAAGCGTGGCAGAAACGCGCCACAGAGCAGTTTGATACAGAGCACAGCTGCAACTGAAATTAAAGCGTATACGTAAAGAAATAAATACATAAACTGCAATGGGCAAACTTGATAAGGAATAGGAGGCACCAAAAAAAGGGGGCATTCCCTAAAATTCTCATTAATACATCTATCATCAAATTAATCTTATTCATGCGCAGGTGCCAGGTAGAACGCATGTCGACGGTTTCGCTACACGTGCGCCGTAGAGCAAGTGAATATGCACTTTATGAGAAAGCATTCTTGTACCACCGGGGCCAGCCTTTCTAGCACGCTGCAGGGACCGACTCAACCGAGTACGAAGACGAGGGGTCTGGCGTTACTTTCACCAACCAGCTCGACACTGCCTGGTCGAACAGCATTCGCCGAGACCAGCTCGTCGAGCAGAGCAGGTCGAGCAGTGCCCATCGAATGTTCTCGTCGACCACTAATGTGCATTAGAAATGCCCCTCGGCGTCGTCGACTGGATCCCGTCGAGCAGAGCCTGCCATAGCAATTTCGTCGTCGACCGTCCCGTCGTTGACCGGATCCCATCCTGCACTAGTAATCTCCTGCTTTTTAGAGCACACCGATGTGAAAATAGGTCTTGCGTTGATACGACATAAAACGAAGTGTTGTCGAAGAGAGCTTGAAAACAAATCACTGCCATATGTGAATTACCGACCTTTTCAGATAGTGTAAAAATTATACAATTTGGAAAGCTATAGTTTGTTGAATAATTTGTTTCTGTATTTCCTACATAGAAAAATATGGTCTGTTCGACGGGGTGATAAAATGCAGCTGCCAAACTTTACTGCAACAATAGCATTGCTTGTGTTGATTGTCCACGTTCACGACATGCATTAACGTATAGTAAAACTCGAGCATTGTTGATTAGTTATGTGATTGTGAGTCTCGATGCTACAAAGAGAAGTGAAACAGGGTGCTGGCGGCGATAGATATGCTTGGTATAGTGAAATAAACTTCTCGACCGTTTTGCTCTTTCTGTCGAAATCATTTGTTTTGACCAATGGGGATAATGCGCAGCTCGACAACTTCCGCGTCGAATGCAGATGCTGACTTGCCAAAATCTAGAAACGGCTTCTGCTGTCGATAATCAATTTCATCGAACAACGTCTCGGTAATTTTGTTTTCCCGACTGTGAAATCGGAACCTTATCGAATGAGTTTCCCTGTTCGACAGAAAGTAATGCAGTGATGTTTCAACAAAAATGTGAAAGTGTAAGGAAAAGGTTTTTCAGTGTGCTTTGTCGAAACGTTTAGCAAGATCCCTAAGTATTGTCGAACATCCCGGAAGCACCTCTTGTCGAACATCACATTTGAGTTTTCGTCGAAGAAAAAATATTTGCCGCGAATTTGACATGTTGTCGAAGGCGATACACCCTTTTAATGCCAACTAAAGCTCTGTCGAAGACAGAAAATCGCAGAACTGAAGCATGAACGCCCTTCCGTCGAGAATTGGCACATTTTCGACGGAAATACCCCTTCCGTCGAGAACAAAATGTCTGCACAAAAAGTAACAATTGTATATTACTTTTTCGGGCCTTAACTTGGATGATATTCTGAGTTACGAAACACTAATTTTTTAATTCTACCATGGTATATCGAGTTGTCTCCCGTCGAGCTCCATCAATTTCCACTGTTACGGCTGACATATATATTGTCATAAGAATACGACATTAAACCCGCGGGTTTCGGAGGGTTTTTTGGCCTGGTCAGCCGGGAATTTCTGGGGGCCCGGAGGGATTCCGCGGGTTTTTCGTTTTGCCTCAATTCCCTTTGTGCCAGGGCGGGCGGGGCGGCATGTGATGACGTCACCCGTGTGTATATAATTGGATAAAAATCCGAATTGAAACTGCACCAGTGCCATGCGCACTGGATTGGCTGCAGACTGTTACTTCTCACTTCAGGTCAGGTGGTTGCCTGACGTTCCGGGCAGAACTACACAAAGTACTTCGGGCAAAATTTTGCACTTCGCGCCTATGATATTGTAAATTGTGCTCATAACCATATCCGCGATTCGCAATCCGCCTCCACGGCGCAATTCTGCCAGCGCGATTCGTACCATCGTCCCGAAATTCCAATTTCCCGCATCCCTCTCTGCACAATTGCCTTCACTGCAAAGCTGATCCTCTTCAAACGCAGCAAATTCCATGTGCTCCAAGATCCATTTCTGTTTCCCCTCCGTATCTCGCGATATCCCCCCTCCATTCCACGAGCGTGAAGTCACCGCCATTTCACCCAAATCCGGCAAGCCAACTCAAGAAGTCTTTGAGCTGGACCTTGATGCAGCGAAGAGACGCATCAGCCATAGTAGGTGCGGTACTGTACGAGGCTATGATTCTGTTTGGCCGCGGCACATGCGACCAATGGGAGTGCGGATGACTCTCGCTGGTCGGTCGTCCCACGGGTCGTCATGGCGACTTGCCATCGTCGTTTCTGTGCAACTCTCACTGCAACGCCCGTCCTGATCGCAAAGTTTTCAGGAGATTCGTTACTGAAGCTTGACGACGATCCACGATGACCAAGAGTTGGGCGAATCAACGGCGAGGTGACCCTTTCCTTCATGGGATGGGAGAGAGTAGTGGCAGAGCAGAGCAGGGTACCGAATAGAAGCGCAGGGCAGCGCGGAGGATGGTTGTTTATCTTGCAGGGATTTCGCATGGCGAGATCATACGGTTTGCAGCGTCCGCATCGTCGTTTACAACCACCCGCGTCCAGCGCGGCAGAGTCAGTTTCGAGCTCCTACCACACGGGGTCGAATCTAACGGTTTGTTTGTTCCTTCGACTCGAAGTTTAGAAGCTCCGTTATTTGAGGTTCTCAAAAAGTCATCTCGACAAGAGAGCCCAACGCGATTGTCAGTTCCGACTCAAGGAACTCCCGGCTACTTTCACGGCATAGTCCAAAGGTTAGGCGCGCACACATCGATCTGATCCGGATTTGTAGTTCAGAACTGCGTCAATTTCAGCATCAGAAACTGCCAATAGCTCAGTCGCCGACTGGGGTCCTTGAAAAGCCCTGTCTCCGAAACTCGCGTATAGAATGGCAAGCCTTACGACCGTCACAGCAGAAGCAGCAGCAGCAGCGCGCGGCGGCCCCGATAACTCCCTCTTCCGCTACCGCGGCGTGCGGCAGCGCACGTGGGGGAAGTGGGTGGCGGAGATCCGCGAACCGCGGCGCAAGGTGCGCTTGTGGCTCGGCTCCTTCGTCTCCGCGGAGCAAGCCGCGCGGGCGTACGACCGCGCGGCGCGGAAGCTGTACGGCGCGGACGCCGTGCTCAACTTCCCCCCCGCGCCTGCCGCAGCGCCTGCGCCGAACGGGGGATCATGTTCCCCCTCCGCCAGCGCCAAGAAACTCAAATCGTCCGTCCCGAGCGCCGCCGCGAGTGGCGGAAGTCGAGTCGGCCCCGTCGCGGTGCTTCCTGCGGCTCTCCCCCGAGCAACACCCATCGCCTCGGATACAAACACATCGCGGAGCTATCACCTCCGCAACAGCCTCCGCGATAGCGGCGGCAGTAACAGCTCCCCGAGGTTGTCGAAATTCCCGAAACCTGGCCTTACTCCCGTCCCAACTGCTGCTCCTACTGCTACACCTGCTTCCGTTTCTACCGTTACTCCTGCTGCTGCTTTCGATACAAGTTCCTTCGGTACCAGCGGCTCCAGCGGCGACACAAGCGGTCTTCCCAGAAGCCCGTCGCCGTGGCTCGAGCGCTTCATGCTCGAGATCCAGGAGATGCGGAAACTCGCCGCGATTCGCGGCGGTGTCGCCGGGTGTTCAGGCTTTGGCCGCGAAATCCAAGCGCAACAACCAAGCAGCGGCGCCTCGTCAGCTGTCGCGACGACTCAAACTCGGCCTTACGCGGCAGCGAGCTGGCAGGCCCGTGAGTCGTTGCTATCACTTTCGCCGCCTAATGTGTTTCCCCTCGCGAGGTCCGACGGGGAAAGACTTTCCAGCCTTGAGGAGCACGCCTTGTTCCCGTTCTTCCTTTCCCAGCAGCAGCGAGCGGAAGGAGCGTACCATACGTGGCATGGCGCGCAGCTTCAGCAACAGCAGCATCTGCTGCAGCAGCTGAATTTGCAGCAGCAGAATCAGCAGCAGCTGAAGCAGCAACGGAACCTACCGCGCCTACCCCAGCAGTCCTCACCACACCATGATGCGTGTCAATCTACAATGGAATCGCAGGCCTCCCCCCATTCCCCGTCCCCCTTCAGCCTGCTACCAGCTCTCCAGTCGCTTACGGCGAAGCTTCCTGGAACGATCTCGGCAACTTCTGCTTGGTCAAGTCAGAGGACGCAAGTAGGCGAGGTGGTAGGAGCGATGCAGACACTACCGCCATTCAGTCTGCCTGCTTCTGCTCCGTTGGGAACGCCCCTGTGGCATCAGCCGCCTGCCGTCCCTGCTGCTCCAGAACCTATGCAGCCGTCTGCAGCGAACTCATCAGCACCGCACTCGACTGCATCGCACCTGTCCACACCACAATCGTCAGCACCGTACCCACCAGCAAGCTCGCTCCCAGCACCGCGTAGCCCCCAGCATATTCTCCTGGAGCATTACATAAAGCTCTCCAAGTGCCACGTGGCAATGGAGGGCTGTGACTCTGCAGCCGCCCCTGCCACGTCACCTGGCTCGGTCCAGGTGAAATCAGAAGAGGGATCAGGCATATCAGTGGCACCTGCGGGAGAGTCTCTGGGCGTTCAGGGGGAAGGGATCGAGGCAGCATTGGAGGAGATGCATGGGGTGAGTGAGAAGAGCTGCTTGGGTCCAGGAAAACGGGGGCGATGCGAGGAGGACTGCGGTGGAGATGGGTCCGGTGCTTTGCAGGGTGATGTGGATGATGGTTCTACCATGAAACGCATGTGCCTGCGGGGCAATGGAAGCGAGGCGAAAGAGAGTGAGGTTTCGGAAGGGATGGACTGCAGCGACAGCAGCGGCAGCAGCAGCATAGTTGTTGAAGAGGGTGAGAATGCTGGAGAGATGAGCCCCGGTAGCAATAGCTCTTGGGGAGAGTGTGGGGCTGAGCTAGTCTCCCTGGGGTCTGATGCGGCGGATTTTCAGCTCGAGGGAGACGTTTGGGGATTGGAGGGGTTGGAATCGCTGCTCCCCGGACTTAGTGAGCAAGAGCTTGCGATAACAACTGAACCATGGGATATGTGGTGAATCAGAGTATATATAGTGGTCTTCCTCAATGTAAATACCTTGGAGATGTCTATATTTCCAACATGTATTTTAGGGCCGTTATTTCCGCTCGCTTGAATCAAATGGTTTGAGACCATTTTTCCAGCTCCGATTTTCCAAGCAGCTAACAGCAAAGCAACAATATACTGCCCAGAATCTCTCTCGACCGCTCTGTGTTTATTCAAGTCCCCCCACCCCTCTGTTGCTGTATCCGTCAGCGATCCCTGTCATGACTCATCCAACTTCGGATTTGGGTTGGGATTTTCTTGAATCCCTCCTTGGGATGCTCCTCGGGATCATCATCATCCAACAAAGATCTTTGGACTCGGGTCGCGGTCGGGGATCTTTGTATTGTAGCCTCGCAAGCCATTCTTCATCGTACTCGGGCTTGCGTCATTGCCTGCACATGGCGTCCTTCGCTTAGATTCATGCACGTTGTGATATGAGGATATGAGGAGAATCTGGATTGGTAGCGTTTTTTAAGAGGGAAACAAGGATCTGGAATACGACTGGAAGACGGCGTGGGAGACAAAGCGAAGTGGAAGGTTGACGACGAGGACGACGAATCGAACTGCCGTTGTTGTTGCTGGGAATTCGGATGAAAAACTGATCGCAACTGGTCGCAGAGCGAGTCGTTGTGAAGCCAGCCTTTTCGTGGTTGAGACCGCGACAGCATCGTGCTTTCGCAGCCGAATCCTTCGCAGCCAACCAAGGGACACCTGCGATCAGGGGATCAGATCAGCTAGGCGCGACGCGAAGGTTCGCGTGTTTCGATGGGGTTAGACGGGTTGAGGGATAGGGACGGTCCGGACGACCAGACATCGCAACTGTTGGACGAGGAGGGAGAAGTCGTTGACGGAGATGGCATTGACGTTGACGTTGACGGAGAGGACGTAGACGTTGACGGAGAAGAAGAAGAGGAGGAGGAGACAGGCGAACGACAGACTATGCGGCTTTATGTGGAAGATCTGGTTACCAGCGGGACGGATCCCGCTAAAACCGGGCTCGTTGCTGACGTGGCAGGCAACGTGGACAGCGACGATGACGACGAGGATGACGAGGAATCGTTGGAAGACGGTTACGCCAGGATTTGCTGGCTCGGATCGGAGGAACCTACCGAGGAGCGAATCGAGGACCTTAAAATAATAGATCGTTGCTTCTTACACGGAGACGTCGTGGCGCGTGCGGACGATCCGCTGGGGCAAACCGGGACCGTGACAGCTGTCGAGCTCCTATTGGATCTCGAGCTCGCGTCGGGAGAGATTCTGAAAGACGTGGATTCCAGGCGGTTGGTTCCGATCCGATCCGTGAAACCCGGAGGTTTTGTCGTTTACCGCGACTGGGTCGGCAGGGTTGACGACATTTTGGATAACCTCGTTTTGGTTTTTGACGACGGAGCGAAATGCCGGGTTACCAAAGTCAGTCCAGACGATTTGTTTCCGGTCAGACCGTCGGCGACGGACGACGAGGAGAGCATTCTTTTCTGGCCCGGGCAGCGCGTGCGCGCGAGTTACGCGAGCATCTTCCGCCGCGGCCAATGGCTGAAGGGCACGTGGAAGCAGTCGCGCATGGAGGCCACGGTGGCAGTCGTCGAACCCGGAACGGCCCTCGTTCAGTGGATCACGGGGAAACAGCTCAGCAGCGGCGCCGGCGGAAGCGGCGGCGGCGACGGCGGAAGCGGTGGCGGGGACGGGGCCAGCAGGGACAGCGGCGGGGATAGCGGCGTGGTTGAGGGGGAAGAGACCGGCGGGGATGGGGAACCGGGGAGCAACGGCAACGGAAGAAACGGCAAGAAGGGAAGCGCGGCTAAAGGGGAAAAGGCTACGGGCGCGGGGGGCGCGGGCGGGGCGAAAGGGCCTCCGCCGGACGAGGTAAGCGCGGCGGCTGTGCGCGCGCTGGTGCATTTTAACTACGCGAACTGGCAGGTTGGGGACCACTGCTTGCGCATTGATGATGGGGGGAGCGGGAAGGGGGAAGCCGGGGGGAGGGGGGAAGGGGGCGGGGGAGGAGGAGGCGGAGGGGAAGCATGGGGAGAGGGGGAAGGGGAGGGGGCAGTAGGACGGGATCAGGGAGGGGATGAGAAGAGGGATGGGGAGAGGGAAGAGGAAGAGGGAGCGAGAGCGGGAGAGGCAGGGGAGGCGGATCCTCTTATTGACTCTGGTGGTAGCAGCACTGTCACAACCAGCCACACCACCAGCAGCAGCGGCGGCGGCGGCAATACCGCTGGCAGCAGTAGGAGTAACAGCAGCAACCTGTTTTTCTGGCGTCGAGGCAGGGGCAAAAAGACAAACTCTAAGAAGAAAAACCCTCACAAAACCCCCAAGGGCGTGGAGCGGGCGCCAATGGTGGTGCGCACGTGCACCCACGTGGCTGTCACGTGGCAGGACGGGCGCGAGGAGAGGGGCATTGACGCGTGTGAGTTAATACCCGTGGAAAATCTGGGTGAACACGACTTTTGGCCCGAGGATTATGTTGTGGAGAAGCATGGGGATGAGGGTATGGGAGAGGGTGCGGGGATGGGGATGGGGAATGGGGGGGGAGGGGAAGCAGGAGGGGAAGGAGGGCTGGGGGTTGGGGGTGGGGGAGGAGGGGGAGGGGGAGAGAGGGGAATGAGTGGAGCTGCAGCGGATCTAGTCGCTCTTTTGACCTCCGCTGCTGATGCTGTTGGGGTTCCTTCTGCTGCTGCTGCTGCTGCTGCTGCTAATGCTGATGCTGATGCTGATGCTGATGCTGCTTCTGATGCTGATGCTGCTCCTGCTGCTGATGCTGATGTTGATGGTCTGGCGACGGTTCCTGCAGTCCTTTCAGCGGACACAGCAGTAGGCGCAGCAGAAGAGGCAACAGCAGCAGAGGCAGCAGCAGGCACAGCAGCAGACGCAGCAGCAGACGCAGCAGCAGACGCAGCAGCAGACGCAGCAGCCACAGCAGCAGACGCAGCAGCCACAGCAGCGGCAGCTGCACGAGCAGCAGCAAAGGCAGAAGCAGCCACAGCAGCAGCTGCAGCAGCAGCCACAGCAGCAGACGCAGCAGCCACAGCAAAAGACGCAGCAGCCGCAGCAGTAGACGCAGCAGCCACAGCAGCGGCAGCTGCAGGGACAGCAGCAGGGGCAGAAGCAGCCACAGCAGCAGCCACAGCATTAGACGCAGCAATCGCAGCAGCAGGCGTAGCAGAAGCAGCAGTCACAGCAGCAGACGCAGCAGCCACAGCAGCCGACTCAGCCGCAGACGCAGCAGCAGACGCAGCAGCAGACACAGCAGCCACATCAGCCGGGACAGCAGCAGGTGCAGCTGATTCAAGCAAAACCTCTTCCGCCCTCCCCTCTGCTGCTCTCCCCACCCCTCCTGTTCCCGTTGCTCCCTCTCCCCTCTCCGTGTTGGTGCGAGGGCCGTGGGGGCGAGTGGGGTACGTGAGAACAGTGGATTACAAGCAGCGCACTGCCATCGTGGCCTGGGCTAGGGCTAACGGGGGACGCAGGGCGGGAGATTTGGGTGAAAATGGGAAGGATGGGGATGGAGGGGCGGGGAGAAGGGAGGGTGGGGGTGCGGCGGGGTGGGGTGGGGTGGTGGAGTTTCAGGAGGAGTTGGCTGCGGTGTACGAGTTGGCGGAGCATCCAGACTGGAATTTTAGGCTTGGGGACGTTGTTGTTAGGCTGGAGGCAGAGGGAGGAGGGGAGACAGGGAGGGAGGCAGGGGAAAAGGCAGGGGAGGAGGCAGGGAAGGAGAAGGGAGAGGAGAAGGAAGGAGCAGGAGAGGAAAGGGTGGATGATAAGGGAGGGGACGGTGGGAAAAGGGAGGGAGGAAAGGAGGGGAGTGAAGTGAGGGAGGATGATGAGGCTGAGAAAGAAGAGGAGAAAGAGGAGCAGGAGGGGGAGGAGAAGGAGGAAGAGGAAGAGGAGGAAGAAGAGGAGGAAGGGGAAGAGGAGGAGGGAGCAGATGATTGGGAGGAGGCGGAGGAGGGAGAGGAGGGGGATGGTGGGGATGCGTGTGAAGGGGGCGTGGATGCATCATGGGTGGGCGAGGTCACTGCCATGCGCCATGGGCTGCTCACTGTCGCATGGGCTGATGGCTCCATATCTCAGGTGCGTCATCGTGTGGGTTGCTGTGTGCCATGTGCTATGCTTCGTGTGATTGCATGCACCATGCGCCATGGGTGGGCGAGGTCACTGCCATACGACATGGCCTGCTCACCGTCGCATGGGCTGATGGCACCATCTCCCAGGTCAGTTTATCGCCGTATGCATCTCCATTTTCATGGTTTCACTGTCACAGCATGCACCATGCGCCTATTACTACCATGCACCATGCGCCTCTTACTGCCATGCATGCACCATGTGCCATGGCCTGCTCACCGTCGCATGGGCTGATGGCTCCAACTCTCAGGTGCGTCCCAGTGGCTTACCATGCATGGCCGTACTGCCATGCGCCATGCGCCATGCGCCATGCGCCATGCACCATGCACCATGCACCATGTACCATGCACCATGCACCATGCACCATGTACCATGCACCATGCACCATGTACCATGCACCATGCACCATGCACCATGCACCATGCACCATGTACCATGCACCATGCACCATGTACCATGCACCATGCACCATGTACCATGCACCATGCACCATGCACCATGCACCATGCACCATGTACCATGCACCATGCACCATGTACCATGCACCATGCACCATGTACCATGCACCATGCACCATGGCCTGCTCACCGTCGCATGGGCTGCTGACTCCATGTCTCAGGTGCGTCCAAGCCATGTGAGTGTGGAGTCATGGGGATGTATGATGGGAAGGAGAGGTGTTTCTGCCATGTCATGCACCATGTTTACCATGCGCCATGTCACCATGCGCCATGTCACCATGCACCATGTCACCATGCGCCATGTCACCATGTACTGCCATGTTACCATAACCATTTACTTTTCCCAAATTTCTTGTCTAGTTGCCTTTGTTTCATAAGGATTTTCGTATATCCATTGGCATACCCATTCCGCACCTCCAGGTTCCCCCACACATGTCTACGTGTTGAATTTGGAAGATGAAGAGGACATGTATGAAGGGGATGGCGAGTATGAAGGCAGCTCACCATTTCATTTCATATGCTCATTACGACACCCATTCACTCTTACAGGTTCCCCCCACACTTGTCTATGTGTTACAACCGGAAGATGAAGAGGACATGTATGGAGGGGATGGTGAGTATGAAGACGAGGAGGCTTATATGGAGGATGAGGAGGAGGACGGGTGGGAGACAGCGGATGAGGAAGAGGAGGGAGAGTTGCAGCAGCAGCTACAGCAGGCGGGTGCAGCTGCAGCAAGTCTTCCCCAGGCAACAGGGAGAAGAGTGATGGCTGCAGTGGCAGCAGTAGCAGAAGCGGCGGCAGGAGGGCGAGGGGCAGGAGGAGGAGGAGGAGGAGGAGGAGGAGGAGGAGGAGGAGGAGGAGGAGGAGGAGGAGGAGGAGGAGGAGGAGGAGGAGGAGGAGGAGGAGGAGGAGGAGGAGGAGGAGGAGGAGGAGGAGGAGCTGGGGCAGGGGCAGTAGGAGCAGGGGCAGGAGGAGCAGGGGCAGTGGACGATTTAGCTGCAAGCCTGCAAGGGTTGCAGAATGTGAAGAATGAGCTGGAAGCGTTTAGCAGGGGGCGCAACTGGTGGGGGGGCGGGAGAGGCGCAGGGGGGAGGAGAGGGGGAAGAGCCGGGGGAAAGGGACGGGAGGAAGGGGAAGGGGACGAGGGGGAAGCGGAGGAGGAGGAAGAGGAGGAAGGGGAGAGGGATGGGGGTGGAGAGGAGGGGAGTGGGAGTGGTGGGAGGAGGAGGAGGGGGAGGAGGCGGAAAGCGGGGGGAGTGTTGGGGGAGGGGGAGGGTGAGAGAAGCAGGGGGGCAGGCGGCAGTGGGGAATCCGCGCAGGCAGGTGCGGGGACTGGGGCGAGGGGTGGATTGTCAGATGTCATCCCGCGATTGGCTGCGGGAATGACATCGATTATTTCGTTGCTGCAGGAGATAGTACCAAAGCTGGATAGGGGCGAGAGGAAGGGGGGAGAGGATGCGAGGGGTGGAAGGGAGGGAGGAGAGGAGGAGGGGGCCGGAAGCAAGGTGGGAGAGGAGGGGGGCGGAAGCAAGGGGGGAGGTGAGGAGGGGGATGCGCAAGAGGCGGGTAGCAAGGGGAAAGGATTGTTGGAGCAAGAGGAGGAGGGAGAGGAGGAGGGAGAGGAGGAGGGAGAGAAGAAGCAGAAAGCAGATGAACCACCATGTGAACCCGTAGGGAAACCCTTGGAGGGACCTTTGGGTTTGGGCGCAGGTGGGGGGTTGGGGCAGAGGCGTAGGGTGGTAGCAGCAAGTGCGTCAGGTGCTCTGAAGGGGGATTTGGCAGGAGGGAGAGGTGGGGACGGGTCAGGTTTGGCAGCTGGTCCTGAGGAGGGATCCTGTGGTGGTGCTAAGGGTGAGACTCAAGGGGAGGGGAGTAGAGGCGAAGGGGAGTTGGGGGTGCCTGGGGTTGAGGGTTCTGCTGGGATTGGTCTGGCTTTGCTGCTGGAGGGGCGTGGAGGAGGGAAGGAGGGAGAGGAGAGTGGGGGAGGAGGGGAAGGGGAAGGACGGGAGGAAGTGGAGGAGAGAGGAGGGATTGAGGGGAGGCGGGAAGGAGAGGAGGAACGGTTGGAAGAGGTGGGGGAGAGGGCAAGGGACGAAAAGATGCATGGAGTGTTTGGGGGTCGGAGATTTTGTGGTTGATAAAGCAGAAGGGGAGGGTCGGGGTGAGGTGAATGGGGAAGCAGAGGTAGAAACGCCGGAGGCAGAAAGCAAGGAAAGTGAGGTGGTGACAAGAGAAGAAACAAGGAGAGGGGAAGGGACAGGGGGTGAGGAAGGGGCAGGGGGAGAGACAAGTGGAGATACAGGGAAAGAGAGAGGGGGCGAGACAAGGGGAGAAGGCGCAGCAGAATGGGGAGATGCAAGAGAAGGGGGAGGGAAAGGGAAAGGGGAAGGAGCAGAGGAAGGGAAAGGGGAGGAAGATCGGGAGGGAGGGGGAGGGAAAGAAGAAGCAGCAGAGGCAGTGGCAGCGGCAGGGGCAGCAGAGGTAGTGGCTGGGGCAGTGGGGGGGGGAGGGAGTGAGGGCGCATGGCGGCAGTTTGATAGTGTGACCGACGCTGCTGACCACTACTATGCTTCACAGACGTTCCAGGTATGTGCTGCTGCTGCCGCCGCCGCCCCCGCCTCCTCCCTTGCATCTCTTGCAGTGCAGCCTTTTGAGGCTTTTCGCTCAATCGTTGTTGCTTGTCTTCTTAACCTCTTGCCTCCTCCTCCCTTCTCCCTCCCACCTCCTCCCTCCCACCTTCTCCCTCCCACCTCCTCCGTTCCGCCTTCTCCCATTCACCCCGTGCAGCCGGGCAATCGCAAGTGGGCAAAGGCAGTGCACAAGGACTGGGAGATTCTCCAGACCAACCTGCCAGGTACGGAAGAGTCTCCGAACCAGCCTGGGCATGTGTATAGAGGTAGGCCAGGGAGCTATAGAGGGGCAACTGTGACTATATTGAGGGACTGTATTATTATTAAGGTCCCTCAGGAGCAGCCATGTTTTGTCTCTCCTGAACCTCCTCCACCCCTTGCTCGCCCCCCGTTTTCCTTAGCCAAACCCCATCTCTGTGCGTGTGTATCTGCTCCGAGTAGCTATTGCCAACCCTTCGCCTGTGTACTGCTCCTCTCCACCCCTCTCCACCCCTCTCCACCCCACCAGACTCCATCCCTGTGCGTGTGTACGAGGACCGCATGCATCTCCTTTGAGTGGCCATTGCAAGCCCTTCGCCTGCGTACCTTCTCATACCCCCCTTCACCCCTCTCCACCCCTCTGCGCCCCACCAGACTCCATCTCTGTGCGTGTGTATGAAGACCGAATGGACCTGCTGCGAGTGGCCATCACCTGTGTACTGCTCCTCTCCACCCCCCTCAACCAGACTCCATCTCTGTGCGTGTGTACGAGGACCGCATGGATCTTCTGCCAGTGGCCCTTGCAAACTTTTACCCTGTGTACTGCTCCTCTCCACCCCTCCTCCGCCCACCAGACTCCATCAGTGTGCGTGTGTATGAGGACCACATGGACCTGCTGCGAGTGGCCTTAGCAAACCTTTAGCCTGTGTACTGCTCCTCTCGACCCCTCTCCACTCCCCCCCACCAGACTCCATCTCTGTGCGTGTGTACGAGGACCGCATGGATCTTCTGCCAGTGGCCCTTGCAAACCATTTGCCTGTGTACCTCTTCATACCGCTCTCCACCCCTCTACGCCCCACCAGACTCCATCTCTGTGCGTGTGTACGAGGACCGAATGGATCTGCTGCGAGTGGCCATTGCGGGCCCGCCAGACACCCCTTACCACCTCGGGCTCTTTTTCTTTGACATCTGGCTTCCACCCGACTACCCTGCTGTGCCTCCTGTGAGTGGGGCCCTGGGATTGACTGCCTATTTTTGGGGAATGATTCAACCACCCATGCTCTGGTCTGGTCTGGTCTGACAGACACCCCATACCACCTCGGGCTCTTCTTCTTCGACATCTGGCTTCCTCCTGATTACCCCGCTGTACCACCGGTGAGTAGGACGTAAGGGTTCGCTGTTCTGGGCCGGTCAGACACACGCACCATACCACCTCGGGCTCTTCTTCTTTGACATCTGGCTTCCACCCGACTACCGTGCTGTGCCACCTGTGAGTGGCGCAGCACCCTTGGTATATCTATATTATGTGTGAGTGTATATGTATATGAGAACAGCAAGGTGTGCCTGTCGCTGCTCAACACATTTGTTGAGACTCCCTATCAACCCCATCCTCTCTCACCCTTCCCCTATCAGTCAGTGCACTACCATTCGGGCGGTCTCAGGGTGAACCCAAACCTGTATGAGAATGGCAAGGTGTGCCTCTCTCTCTCGCTGCTTAACGCTGCTCCTCCCCTCTCCCTCCCCCCCTTCCCTCCTTCCCCTCCTTCCCTATCAGTCAGTGCACTACCATTCGGGCGGCCTCAGGGTGAACCCAAACCTGTATGAGAATGGCAAGGTGTGCCTGTCGCTGCTCAACACGTGGGGAGGCAAGGGCACGGAGGTGTGGAACCCTGGCTCCTCCATTCTGCAGGTATGGGGTGGTGTGGGAGTGGTGTGGGAGTGGTGTGGTGTGGGAGTGTTGTGGGAGGGGAGGGGGCAATAGCAAGAGGGTGGTATTGCCTTGATGAGAACGGCAAGGTGTCGCTGCTCAACTCGTGGGGAGGCAAGGTCACGGAGGTGTGGAACCCAGGCTCCTCCATTCTGCAGGTATGCCACGTGTGTGTGAGAGCAGCAGGATGGAAGTAATGCCTTGAATGGGTTATTCACGAAGGCAGTAGAATGCCGGGTGTGTCCGTCCTTCTTCAACACAAACTCGTGGGGAGGCAAGGGCACGGAGGTGTGGAACCCAGGCTCCTCCATTCTGCAGGTATGCGTGTGTGGGAGGGAGTGGCAGGAATTCTGCAGGTAAGCCACATGCGTGTGGGAGTAGCAGGCTGGCGGTAGTGCCCTTCTTCAATACAAACACGTGGGGAGGCAAGTGCACAGATGTATGGAACCCAGGCTCCTCCATTCTGCAGGTATGCGTGTGTGGGAGGGAGTGGCAGGAATTCTGCAGGTAAGCCACATGCGTGTGGGAGTAGCAGGCTGGCGGTAGTGCCCTTCTTCAATACAAACACGTGGGGAGGCAAGTGCACAGATGTATGGAACCCAGGCTCCTCCATTCTGCAGGTACGCGTGTGGCACGCGTGTGGCAGTACCTAGATTGGGTCCCTAGTAGTGTTGTTGCCTACTACTCGTTGTCGAGGGGCACGGGGTGTGGTCATGTTGTCCACTCCCTTCTCCCGTGTCTTTGCATCTCTCCCCACCATCCCTCCCAGGTGCTCGTGTCTATCCAAGGCCTTGTGCTCGTGCCAACAGTCCTCTGCCTGTTCCCTGCCTTCCCCTTCACACACCCCCCTTCCCCTCCTTTCGGGTGCTCGTGTCAATCCAAGGCCTTGTGCTCGTGCCATCAGTCCTCTGCCTGTTCCCTGCCCTCCCCCTCACACACTCCCCTTTCCCCCCACTCAGGTGCTCGTGTCAATCCAAGGCCTTGTGCTCGTGCCATCAGTCCTCTGCCTGTTCCTTGCTCTCCCCATCACACTCCCCTTTCCCCCCACTCAGGTGCTCGTGTCTATCCAAGGCCTTGTGCTCGTGCCGCGGCCGTATTTCAACGAGGCGGGGTATGAGAGGCAGAGGGACGGTGTTGACTCACTGTCTGCTCCCTGCCTTCCTGTCTTCACACATCCCGTCCCCCTCCCCCCCAGGTTCTCGTGTCGATCCAAGGCCTTGTGCTCGTGCCACGGCCGTATTTCAACGAGGCAGGGTACGAGAGGCAGAGGGGAAGTGCAGAGGGGGAGAGGAACGCAGATCTGTACAACGAAAGTGCCTTTCTGCTGTCGGCCAAAACCATGATCTACTCTATTCGCAACCCCCCCAAGGTACGTTCTGATGTGGTGACTTCTGAGCTTACTGAATAATGTGATAGTGAGGTTGGGTACGAAAGGCAGAGTGGCAGTGCAGAGGGGGAGAGGAACGCTGATCTCTATAACGAGAGCGCATTTTTTCTGTTGGCCATAACCATGATCTACTCCATCCGCAACCCCCCCAAGGTATGTTTTGATGTGATTGGATCAGCTTGAGAGCTCTTCAGTGGACCAATCTATTGTTGACCGGAAAATGTATCTTTCCGAAAATGTTATCTACCGGAAAATTTGTACAAGTATAAAAAGAACAAGGACTGCAACCCTCTGAAGGTACTGTCCTCAAGTGATGCATCTGCTTGGCGTTTCCCTAGTTGATTGGAAATTCGTATTCACTCTGTTCATGTCAGTGCATGCCATATCAGTCCATGCCATGTCAGCCTTGCTACACGTATGTCCAAGGGGTTGGAGTGTGTGTGAAATCAGTATTGTCTGATTTTTATTATTATTATTATTATTATTATTATTATTATTATTATTATTTTCTACTCCCCTTCCCTTCCACTCCCTAGCACTTTGAGCCCCTAGTGGCGCTGCATTTCAAGCAGCATGCTGCCGCAATCCTTGCTCTGTGTGACACATACGTACAAGGGACTAGAGTGTGTGTGACACATACGTACAAGGGACTAGAGTGTGTGTGTGACATCAGTCATCTGTTCCCCTCCCTCCGCCCCCTTCCTCCCCACATCAGCACTTTGAACCTTTGGTGGCACTGCACTTCAAACAGCATGCTGCTGACATCCTTGCTCTGTGCGACACATACGCTCAAGGGACCAAGGTGTGTCCACTTAAGGCTGCAAGCAAGGCAAGCCCAGCTGCTGTCAAAGACACAACAAGTTCATCTGCTAAGGACACCGCAAGCCGACTCGATTCTGACAGCACGAGTGGCTCCGAGGGTGTTCAGCAGCAGCAGGAGGGTTCGATGGGACAGCAGGGAGAGGCTAGGCCTGCTGATGCGTTGCATAGCGGTGGTGGAGGTGATGATGGGTGTTCGGCTGGATTCAAGATAATGCTGGGGAAGCTGTGTCCGCAGCTGGAATTAGCCTTGGCACGGGTTTTGAAGGGAAAATGATGTGTCTGGAGGTGACAAGGTTGGCTTGGATGATGTTACTGTCAAAATCAACTAGCAGGAATGAATGAACTAGGTCAAAGTTTGGTACAAGTATGAAACCCTAAAGGGGCTATACCCCATATTAGCTACCCCACTACAGCCTACACATATGTAGCACATATATAATTTGACACACCCCCATAGGCAAAGTGGGGGAGAGCAAGGGGTCACAAGACCAGTCAAGAGAAGCAAAGCAAGCTCAGGGTGGATCACAACGTCACCACACACACTGAGCACAAGCAGAGGGCCACAGGGCCAGTTCACATGCAGAGGTATATATGCAACAACAGCAACACAGTTATCACTACCTAGCAAGAGCAAGCATGCATGCATGTATATATATATATATATATATATATATATATATATATATATATATATATATATATATATATATATATATATATATATATATATATATATATATATATATATATATATATATATATATATATATCACTGTACAAGCAAAGTCTACAGCAAGTGAGGAAACGTGGGCACAAGGCCAAACAAAGTACAAAAGCGCTGATAATCACCAGGTGGAAGTGCCGTGGTGAATATATCAGCAGTGTTGGCCCGAGTGGCCACGTGAGCAAGACGAAGCTGACCACGCTGCTGCAACTCTTGAGCCAGGAAGTAACGCAGAGCGATGTGCTTCGTTCTGTGCTCCAGTCTGTGCTCCTGACACAAGGCAATGGGGGCCTTGTTGTCGACGTACAGCACTGGAGGAGAACGAGGCCGCTCTCCCAAGTCGGTCAGCAGGTAGGTGAGCCAGCGTAACTCCTGTGCAGCCATGGCTGTGGCGTAGATCTCAGCCTCACAACTGGAGCTGAGAACAGAAGACGAGCGTGTAGACCGCCAAGAAACAGAGCCAGAGCCAAGACTGAAGGTGTAACCCTGTGACGACCGCTGCGTAGCCAGGTCGTCAACCCAAGAAGCGTCCGAGTGCCAAGTGAGGACAACGTCGCCCCGTCCTCCAAGCACGAGCCCCATGCCCGATGTACTGCACAAGTAGCGCAGTACCCTCTTAGCAGCATCCATGTGCACCTTTCGGTGCCTACCAGGAGCCACGTAGCGAGCCAGAAGGCCAAGAGGGTACGCAAGGTCAGGACGAGTGCAGGTCATCAGGTACATGAGGCAGCCCACTAGCTCTGGGTAAGGACCACTCGGCTCTACGGACTCGTTCGAAGGTGGAGCTGAGAGCGAGTGACCTGTAGCCAGAGGAGTGGCCTGTGCCGAGGACCAGGTGAAGCCGAAGCGCTGAAGGACCTGCTGCACCATGTGTGACTGAGTCAGTGTGATGGTGCGGCGTGCTCTGTCCCGGGTGATCTGCAAGCCAAGGTAGCTGCGCAGCTCACCCAGGTCTGTGCACGTGTGAGAGCCTCAGTGTCAGCAGTGGCAAAGACCAAGTCGTCGACGTACACGAGGATGTAGAACGGCGGCAGCGAAGTGTCGGTGCGCAGAAACAGCGACGGGTCAGCAGTGGAAGGAGCAAACCCAAGAGCCGCAAGTGTCGTCCTCAGTGTGTCGTGCCACTCACGCGGCGCCTGGCGGAGACTGTAGACTGGCCACCGGAGGCTCCACTGGGTACCAGGAGGGAACGACCCAGTGAAGCCAGGTGGGTGGCGCAGCCAGATCTCCTCGTGCAGGCTGCCCTGTAAGAAAGCTGTGGTGAAGTCAAGAGAGTGAAGCTCGTAGTCACGCTGAGCGGCAACGTGCAGCAGCACCCGAAGAGTGGTCATCTTCGGGGTGGGGGAGAAGGTCTGGAAGAAGTCAACTCCCTCCCGCTGACTGAAGCCTCGAGCAACGTAACGAGCCTTGAAGACAGGCGGAGAACCCGGCGGCCGCTTCACCCTGAAAATCCACATGCCACTGACGATGTTCGCCCCAGGAGGGGGAACCTCGTCAACGTAAGTGCCTGTGGACTTCCAGGATGCCATCTCTGCGTCCATGGCTGTCTACCACTGGGAGGAGTACTCACCCGCGATCGCCTCAGCGTAAGAGCGCGGGGTCGGGATGTCTGGAGCATCCGGGTCTCCCTCAGGGGCAAGCAGCATGGCCATGAGATGAGGCGCAGCGGCTGCAAGACACTCAAGGTCCTCCTGCCTGTCCTCAAGGACGTCCGTGCTAAGAGCACACTCACCCCCGGCGGACGGAGGACAGACAGACTCAGACTCAGCAACAAGACTAGCGGCGTAGTCTAGACGACAGGCAGCAGCAAAGTCAACAAGCTCAGCGACTAAGGCAGACGCAGCAGCAGACACAAACGACGGGTCAGTGACAACAGTGGCTAGCAGACGCGTGACAGTAGGGTGAGCAGCACGAGCGCGGTCAGACTCAGGCTCTGGAACATCAGGCAGAGAAGACGCAGGAGGGGACGGCAGGGGAACACGCTGCGGAGCAGAGGAAGGACGCAGGGCCATCAGGTGTGTGCCGGGGACAGCCGGCGGACGCTCACGAGGAACACGACGACCAGTACGACCAGTGCGGACAGTGCGTACAGGCGAGACAGGACGAGACGCAGGCTCACGACGCTCAGCAAGACCTCCTGTCTGCTCAGTGTAAGGAGGAGGAGCAGGCAGCGGTGAGCCAGGCTGTAACGGAAGACCAGTAGAAGACAGAAGGCTAAGAACCTGGCGAAGCACGGAGTCAGGCGGTGGCAGAGACGAAGGCGACGGCGGAGCGAAGAACAGTCGCGGCTGTGCAATGCCACCAGCACCAGTAGCTCCAGCACATCCTGCAGCTCCAGAACCTCCAGCGCCAGTACCTCCAACACTAGCACCTCCAGCAGCTCCAGAACCTCCCGCGCCAGCGCCACCAGCGCCAGCACCTCCAACAGCTCCAGAACCTCCAGCAACAGCACCTCCAGTACCAGCACCACCAGAACCGGCACCTCCAGTCGCAGGGTCTCCAGCCTCAGGGTCTCCAACAGCAGCACCCCCAGAACCTGCACCTCCAGCTCCAAGGCCTCCAACCTCAGAGTTGACAGCAGCACCTCCAGGTCCAGCAGTACCTCCAGCCCCAGCAGCTCCAGTACCTCCAGTACGAGCACCTCCGGGACCAGCGGCTCCAAGAACTCCAGTAGAAACACCTCCAGTATCAGAGTCACCAGCTCCAGCTCCTCTCGCAGCAGGGCCCCCAGCTCCAGCAGCGCGACCCTGACGGCTAACGTACCACTCACGCAGCTGCTGTGTGGAGAGAGGGACAGTGCCAGCTCCAGTGCCTCCAACCCCAGCGCCTCCCGTAGCAGGGCCCCTAGCTCCAGCAGCGCGACCCTGACGGCTAACGTACCACTCACGCAGCTGCTGTGTGGAGAGAGGGACACGCCGACGAGAGTGCTGCGGCGAGGCACCTGCGGAGCGACTACGGAGGCGGCCGCTCCAAGGAGACTGCTCACCAGGCGCCACAGTGCCCCCAGGCGCAGCACCACCAGACCCAGTACTCCAAGGCTCAGCACCCCCACGCTCAGCACTCCCAGGCTCAGCACCCCCAGGCTCCGCACCCTCAGGCTCAGCACCCCCAGGCTCCTCACGCGCAGGCTCAGTACCTCCAGGCTCCGCACCCCCAGGCTCAGCACCCCCAGGCTCCTCACCCCCAGGCTCAGCACCCCCAGAAGCAGCACCCCGAGCAGGACCACCCCCAGCAGGACCTGAGTCACCAGTGACCTCAACCGGCTCAGTCAAGGGAGGAGGGTCTACCTGAGACACACCTGAAGGAGCAGGACCGGGAGCGGGGAGGGGGTCTACCTGGGGAGGACCTGGAGCGAGGAAGAGCGGCGGGGGGGGGAGAGGGGCAGTGCGGTAGGGAAACAGACGGTAAAAGAGGACCGACTCGTCAAAGGTGACGTCATGAGACGGAAAGACACGGCCCCAGCCGTAAAACTGCCAGCCAGGCGCGTCAGGGGGGAAACCAAGGAAGACGCAGGGAATGGCGCGAGGGGAGAGCTTGTCCGCGGTGGTATCGTGGACAAAGGCACGAGCTCCCCAGACCCGGAACCGCGACGCATCGCCAACCTCCCCCATCCAACGTAGTGTGGGTGAAGTCTCCGGAACGGAGACACGGGGCCAGAGGTTGAGCTGATGTGCGGCGTACCGGACCGCAAACGGCCACAGAAAATGGGGGGCAGCCGCATGGATCATGGAGGTACGAGCGACCTCCATGACTAAGCCAATGCGGCGCTCAGCAACCCCATTCTGCTGCGGAGAGGTCGGAAGCGTGAACGTCTGGCGGATGCCGTGCTCCTCACAGTAGGCTCGCAAGAGGCCAGAGGAGAACTCACCACCTCTGTCAGAGTGCAGACGCAGGACAGGAAAGTCCGAGTGGAACCGCTCGCGGAGCTGGAGACGAACAGCGCGGATCCAAGGGATCAAAACAGTAGGGACATCCCCCTTGCGATGCAAGGGGAAGACCGTGGTGTAACGCGTGTAGTCGTCGACTACCAGCAGGAAGTACCGCTCGTGGCCCTGTCCACGGACGCGGGCTGGGCCCCACACGTCCAGGTGGAGAGTCTGCAGTGGAGCCTCTGTGAGAGGGAACGAGGAGGAGTGAGGAGCGGCGCGATGCCGCCCCTCGACGCAAGGAATGCAGGGCGGCGCAGGCGAGGGAGGGAGGGAGGGCAGAGACCTGGGAAGACCAGAGACCAGTAGGCGAGAGTGCATGCCACGAAGGCGAGGCAAGGAGGGGTGACCAAGGCAGTGGTGCCAAAGGAGAGTCTGGTGCGACAGGCGGCGACACTTACACTGGGTAGCTGCCTGAGCGGACGCGTACAACTGAGGAGACAAAGGGGTGGAGTGCGACGCAGTGGTGAGGGTGTACAGACTGGACCCAGGCGCACGTGTGAACGTGGCCAGGTGGCGGCCAGTCCGAGAGCACGTGCAGATCGCCACACGCTGTCCTCCAGGAGTAAAGGTGTCAACCCAATGATCCTGAAGGATGGCGTTGCTCACCAGGTTCGTAGAGAA